GAGTGTCCCACAAGAGTGTCCTATAAGAGTGTCCCACAAGAGTGTCCCACAAGAGTGTCCCACAAGAGTTTCCGACAAGAGTGTCCTACAAGAGTGTCCTACAAGAGTGTCCCACAAGAGTGTCCTACAAGAGTGTCGTGTAAGAGTGTCCCACAAGAGTGTCCTGCAAGTGACCCACAAGAGTGTTCTACAAGAGTGTCTCACAAGAGTGTCCCACAAGAGTGTCCTACAAGAGTGTCCCACAAAAGTGTCCCACAAGAGTGTCCCACAAGAGTGTCCCACAAGAGTGTCCTATAAGAGTGTCCCACAAGAGTGTCCTACAAGAGTGTCCCACAAGAGTTTCCTACAAGTGGCCCACAAGAGTGTCCTACAGAGTGTCCCGCAAGAGTGTCCTACAAGAGTGTCCTTTGGACATATTAGTTTTTCGATCGTGTTTGCATTCGGGTTCGTGGGTTCCATCTTGTTTTTGAAAGCAGGCTTACCGATCCAAAAGAGTTCAATGGGCATGCGAAGGATGAGGACAGTTTGGCAGACATGACCCTTGAGGAGAGATCTTAAGACAGCCTTCCCTATCATCCATCTGGGCGGTTCTCTATCCCTTTCTTGAGCTTCTTGTGAAGACCTTCAGGCTTGGTTGCCTGAAGTTGAACGCACCGAGGTGGGGGCCTGCTCCAGGAAAGCTAGGAGCAACTGCATCCAATATCCCAAACTAATCATATGGGGTTCTTTTCCAACAATTGGAGACTCAACAAGACACTCCTGGCACTAGGACAAGTGAGTGACAAAGCTTTGGACAATGGGGGTCCCATTTGAGACAAGCCCTCACCCATAGTGACCTATTTTTGGGAGCATGGCCAGGTGGAGAGAGAACTTTTGGAAGGTCTTCGAGCCATTTCTGCCATGCCCCCAGTGGCGGAAGCTGGAAGCTGAACACTTCTCGAGTGTGAAGCTGAACATGAAGCTGCGATGAGGTTAGAACGAAGATCAGTGTCAACATTGGATTTCCCACGGAGGTGGGGTAAGCCAGGGTTCTATTGGGATGTGTTGAGTGTTTCGCCAACAATGACCCTGCTATAACTCGAGAGCCAGGATGAAAATGGGCCATGCCTTACCCTACTCACCAGTTTGAATCAAAAAATGCGACCATTCTGTCTTGCCCTCTTGCAGGGTGAGGGACACACCTTGAAAGACCATGGCTTCGTGATGTGCCTTGGCCTGAAGTGGGGCACCAGGACACACTGGCCGGATGGCGCCTTAATTCCGTTTTGTAGCTAATGATTCACCTGCACACCACGGGTCAAATTCAAGGAACAGCGAAAAACAACAAAAACAAGAGAGAGGGAGAGAGAGAGAGAGATATAGAACTATAGAACGATACAAAGATAGACAGATAGAAAGATAGGAATGGAATGGAATGGAACGGAAAAGAAAGGAAAGGAAAGGAAAGAAAGGAAAGAAAGGAAAGAAAGGACAATGAAAGAAAGAAAGGAAGAAAGAAAGACAGAAAGAGAGGAAAAGAGAGAGAGAGAGAGAGAGAGCGCAACCAACAAGAGGACATTGTCATATTTGTTCTTCGGTCTTTTGGGCCCTTTTTTTTCTCCGACATGTTTCATTGAGATTTTGATTTTCCATTTTGCAAGTGGCTGCCCAACCAAGTGGCTGCAAGTGACTCCCCAAGCAAGTGGCTGCCAAGTGGCTGCAAGTGACTGCTACTTCTGTCCGGAGAATATCATGATTTCTCCGCACGCAGCTCCGGAGAAAACCAAGATTTCTGCAATGCTATTCTTCGAAGAAATTCCGGTTTTCTCCAAGGAGCTGCGGGCGGAGAAATCATGAAATAATCCAAGACTTTTTGGAGAATAATTCACAACTTCTGCAGAGCTAACTACGAAGAAATCTTACAGCTTTTACCTGAACTCAGAGTGCAAGTGTAGAAGTCTACTTGCTTGAGTGACAAGTGGCTGCAAGTGGCTGCCTGGGCAAGTGGCTGCAAGTGGCGTCAAAAACAAAAATCAACACTTACGTCATTTGCTCGCTCACTGACATGTTTGGAAAAGATCCGAGGCGCTTTGCCAGACAAGCGTGGTGGAGCAATCGGATGCTTCAACCTCGGTGGGCAGGTGACAGACCAAAACGAACCCATGCCCACGGATTTGTAAGAAGGACAGTCCGACGGGTCCCTTCTTCACGGGTCCGTGGTATAGTTGGTAAGAGGGTAGCTGTGATTCCGCAGTGGTTCGGGGATCGATGCGCGCTGTGGCTGACTTTCTTGCTTACATGAGTGCAAGCATCAGCTTCAATGTCGTGATGTGGTTACAATACACCATTTGCAAGCACATTTTCGGATAATGTCAACTGGCCCATTGGTCGGTTCCCTTGCTTTCATGTGGATTGCTTTATCATTCTTCTGGGCGGCCTTTAGAGTAGGAGAAGAGGTTGACATTTTGATGTCTCATTGTTGCTTCACCTTAACGCAATCATTCTCCTTGACACCCAGATAGGTTTCACGATCTCATGGAGTAAAGGCTTTTGGTATCTGGCGTCCCGTCTCAGAAAGCAGCTTCCCACAGAAGAAACATTAGGAGCCGATGGGGAAAGAGAGATCTGACAGAAATCTTTCAATGGATCGAGGGTTCCCCGGCTCACACGATTCCATTTTTTTGGCTTCCGGTAAGAAGCCTTTTCCGCAAGCGGTGCTTGAACTAGATTCACTAGATGTTCTTTTGTTGGGTACTTCTGCGGCGTCCCGCAGATATGATTTGTTTGGATTGGACGGGCCACCGAATGCGGGCGGAGGGCAGGGGGTCCGTCGTACATTTGGGCTCTGGCGTTTGGCAGGCTCTTCGCTTCACATGGTTTTGCGTTTACTTCAATGCCCCCCCCCCAAAAAAAAAGAAAAAACACAAAACATAGCTACAGGCTATAGACGGGTGGAAGAGAGAGAGGAAAGGAGTGCAGAGCCGATGCCAGGAACAAGGGCATTGCTACTAGTAACAAGGGCATCGCTACCAGGAACAGGTGCATCGCTAAAAGCTACTAATAGCAAGAAGCAGCTAGAAGCTACTAGTAACAAGGGCATCGCTACTAGGAACAGGTGCTGTTTTTGATGTTTTTGGCATCTCCTCTTGTGCTGCCATGGACTAAGCGCCCCTCACGAGCACCTTGCCACCTCAGGCATCGACCAGTTTATTCATGCCGTAGGCGCACACTCCATTATGCATTCGGTCTGAATGCCACTAGCCCACAGGAAACCTTAGTGAAAAAGACACCTGATTAAAACCAGGTCCGAGGATCTCAGCAGGTACGTGACAGGCCGAATTTTCAATCTTGCAAGATGCAAAGTTTTCATGGTTCAAGATGCAAAGCATCAAAGTAATGCAGATTTGCACTTCCAAAGGCCAAAGTTTCCATGGTTCAAGATTTAATGTGAAGCATCAAATTGCAAATGCAAATGCCAAGTGCGTGTTTCCAACCTGCGAGCCAGACAAATGAATCACGCATAGGTATTTCCAAACTACAAGCGACACACATGTATAGGCAAGCAAGACAAAAGCATGTAAAGCCTCCTGTGTAGTATAGGTAAGCAAGGCAAACAGGATGAAAAGCCTCCGGTTCTAGCGAGCCAGATGAAGGAATCGCTCACAGCGGTAGTGAAAAGGGAAGAGAAGCGGCAGACAAGTCTGCCGACGAACTCTGCCTCCAGTTGACGAGCGAGACAAACGAATCGCTCTCCACTGTGGGATGTATTTGGGAAGACTTTGAGGATTGGTGGTGGGTTCAGCTTTTGAACACTGCCTGATCCCTGCAGATGCAATTCATCCCCTCAGATTGCAAGGGTTCGGGACTGGGCGCTCTCGCGACAGGTGTGATGAGCTGACAGATGCCTGAGCGTGGCTTGGTGGCAGGGGTCTTTCTGATCCAAACGAGGGAGAGGTTTTTGGAGCACCGTGCCCGTGATTTCCTGCGATGGAGCCAAGGTGGCCAAAGAGAAAGCCATAGTCATACAGAAGGCGAGGTCGTGATTTTTGAAGGAACCTTCAGCTGGTGGGCAGCATGGTGCATGATGATATGGGTGCCTTAGATCAATTTGACTAGGCAGGTTGGGGGGGAAGAACACTGTGAAGGCGTGCATGCTCGGAATGGTTTTGCATTGCCCAACAGCGCTGAGGTACTTTGCTTCCTGGCGAGCACCGTGGCACATCTGCAGTTAGACACAGGGCTCCGCTTGCGAACTTGTTTGCTCCAGGGTCTTTCAGTCGCATGCGAGCCCCATGTGGCGTCGGAGATCCTCGGCGCTGACGCATGTTGACGGCCGTTGACTTTTGGTTTCTGCGGATGGACTGTGTGCAGCCTTCAGGTCCTCATGATCCTCTCTACTCGCGGATCCGCGTTTCAGATCATCTCCGAAGAGATCTCCTATGTCAAGGAGAGGGTCACTCCTCATTAGTCCTGGTCTCCCACTTCCCATCAGGCTTGACTTGCTCTTGAACAGTTCCTTGAGTTTGGCAATAAGACTTGTCTAGAAGAACCTATGTCCTATGTAGATCGATACAGATCAATGAACCAATGATCAAACCAGCATCCTCTTTCCATTGAGAACATCAACTGTCCTATATCAACTGAGCTAGCTCCTTGCAGAAAAAACTGGCTCTCCGAGACGAGGTCTCTTGGCCGTCCGCCTCTCAGCCGCGTTGAGACGCCCGCCTGAGGAGGTGCGCCCTCCATACGGGCCAGAGGAGCAGCCCGTGGTGGATGCGCATCTCAACTGCAGCGACCCGATGACCGACGGGGACGTCGGGGCACTGCTTGGGTAGGGCTGCGCGGGGAACCCGCGGGGAGTGGGGACGCGCGTTCAGCGCCAAGGACCATGCGGGAGATCAATCAAATGTTTGCCTATAGACTTCCCCAGACAGCTGCCTGGCAGGATTGTGAAGAGTCGGTGGCACCAAAATGGAGTTGTTTTTGGAGCTTGCCATGGTGAGGGCTTGTCTGAGATAGGACAGCATTCAGTAGCAAAAGGTGTTAGTTTGGTTGCAACTGCAGGCGTTGTTCTACTCTTTGGCTGGGTCGTCCTTGGGCCTCTTCACTGTCTCCTACTTCTCGTCCTTCGTCTTGCTGGAGGACACGGTTGGGGAGTTTTCTTTTTCAGCAAGCTTTGAACTTAGAGAACACACTTGCGGGCTGCACCATGTGTTTGGTGTTGCCCAACGGGCCGTCCATCCAGGACCAAGGTCCCAAGCGCGTCGTGGACATTGGCTTCCTGATCTCGAAGGGTGTCAATGTGTATATGGGTCGGACGATCCCCGTGGCCGGCGCCTCAGAGTTCGAGCCGCCTCGGCCGATCTTCCGCCTCGGGCCGGAAAGAGCGGCGGCTTGGTTCTCGGACCGGTTTGGTGGGCGAGTTGCTTCAGAATCATTTTTCACAGCCTGAGCTACACGCAGATATGATTCAGCACAGCTTCCTGGATCTCATTTTCCTGTCCAGATTCTAGCACTTCTCTTCCTTGGCGGCTGGTATGTGCCGGACTCAGCTGCACTGGAATGGGTGTGCTGAAGAGCGCTGCATGTGACAAAGATCCGGTCCTGTGTTCTATGGTGCATCGAGAGTAGATGGTACAATCAAAGGTGGTTTATATGGACCCCCTCTAAAAGACATTTTGGGGTTTGGTGCCATCTACTCTGAAACCACTGTAGAATCACCCCTGAGACCGACTCCTTCGATGCTTCTGCTGCGAACCGACGGTCGACGGCAACGATGGTTTGATGTGCCGAGGTGATGGGAACTGCAGGCCCAAGAGCAGTTGCATGCTTCGCCGTGGGAGCAGCCTTGAATCTGTTAAGTGCCGAGTGCTCAGACTTAGATAATGGGTTTGCAGTTACGTTTGTTCCACGCGGAAATGAATGAGGGAAACGAAAGGTGAAGCGGTCAGTGCAACTGAATGTTGAACACATGGTTCACTTGTTTGCAGAACGCGGCGGCGGCGAGCTCAGCTGCAAAATCCGGCTGGGGGAAGGTTTTGGGGTCTATTGTGAGAACAACCATGGCAGCAAAACGAGAGAATGGACAGCGTGTTCAACAGTTGAAAAGGCAGGTACAGGTGGATGATCAGTCCACCCTTCCCTCGTCATACCGTAGCTTCGTTGCGTACGGTGGGCATGACGAGCCGTACGCCCCTGCTTGCAAGGTGGAAAAAACTCTTGGGGACAGAGTGTGACACAGAGAGAGAGAGAGAGAGATATTCATATGCATTATATGAATCAATATTTATGCACACCTGTTTGTACTGTGTATACATACATATATATATATATATATTGTTTATGTATATAATAGACTTAGTAGATCATGACTATCACTACTTTCCTGATTGATAGTTCGAGACTGGTCCTCGCGGTCGGTTCACAAGGGCCATCACCCGTCCGAGGCACAGGTGGGCGTGAGCGTCACCGTGCAAGGGCAGACCCGTTTGGCCCATGCACTGGGACTGGAGCTCTTTGATGCTTTGCAGATTGGAGTGAGGCCGGGCCTGGGCCATGCAACGTTGTTTTCCGTTGTTTTCCTCTTTGGCTCATGGCATGTAGTGAGACTTTGCAGAGAACGAAAGGGTCTGGTAACCCTGGTAGGGGTGAAGTCGCCGATGCCAGGACGGGTTCCATTGGAGGATTGTTGGCGACTTCTTTGGCCCTCGGAGGCGTGCGGCGGACGCTTGAAACGGTGTGGGTTCCACCAAGCGTGTGGTGGCCATGTTCGGTGGACTTTGTTGAGGCTCTCAGTTGTGACAGCCCGCTCTTTGGTTTGTTTCTTTGACGAGTGGTGCCTGGAACAGTTTGCTGCTTGACTGGTTGCAAGCCAGGTATGGCTGGAATGTGGCTGCTCATCCAGGCAAGGATGAAATGCTTGGTGTCACTCGTTTTCAAGTTTTGTGCCCACCACTCGCAAGGATACATTGTCTTTGTCTGGCTTTGGTTCTGGTGCATCTATTGACTCTTGGACCGCAGAGCCACATGCACAGGGCTTTGGCAACCATGTGACATGGTTTGTGTAAAGTGGATCCCACTCTCGTTGGGTCATCGAGAGCCTTCCTGTGCCCGCGGGTTGTCACCAAGGTGTCCTTTGCCATGCGAGTTGGTGGAGGCATCTTCTCCAAAGGCGCCGACATTGGAGCTGACTTGGTGAGTGCCTTGGCTCGCAGTGCCGTACCCCGGCCACTCGGTGTGCGGGATCATCCCCAAGTCCTAAGTGCAACTTTTGGTGTGGGCGGGGCCATCGTGCGAGGCGACATGGAAGAAGCTCGCTTCGAAGAGGATCAGAAACTCTTCGAGTTGCAGAGGAAAATGGCCGAGTTGGAGGCTTGGGGATGAAAGAAGCATCCGAAAGTTCGGAAAGCCTGTTTGAAAGCGGTCTCTGGTCTTGGCTTGTTCGCTTGGCTGGTTGGCAGGAAGACCGCAAGGAGCGTGCAAAGCATGGGCTTGAGGGAGATGATGAAGACATGATGGAAGAGCTGCGCAAGATGGAGGCGCCGTAGTCGATGTTTTTCGCAGCGGAGGCGTCACACGGTCCGAGCAGTCCGAGCGGTCCGAGCGGTCCGAGCGCGAGGGCGAGAGAGAGAGAGAGAGAGAGCATCCAGTCCGCTGGAGGGAGCGACGCCCAAGGATCAAATGCAAGACATCGCATCCCAGCTGCACCCCATCGACTACTTTGACACGGTGGGTGAGGCTGGGCATGCGTGGGAAGTGGTGCGAACATCACACGGTGATGGATTTTTTTGGGGTGTGGCAATGCTGAGCCTAGTTTTGATGTTTGATGATGTTTGCATCGACCCACCGCTATTTGCATCCCACCGTCTGTAGCGACCATCTGTGCTTCGCCGACCGGACGAGGCCATCAACGATGTCTCTGGGACTTGCGCGGATCTCTTCGAGTCGATGGTCTTGATCCTTGGCACCTGTGCCATCATCGGTGTCAAGGGAAGCCCCGCGCCCGGCCAGCACGACGCGTGAAGATGTTCGCGGTTGGTTGGTGGCTGGCGCCCTCGCTGCGGGTGACTCCTCGACGGTGAGCCGTATGTACCCCAAAGGCACAAGCTTGTCCACAAATAGTTATCAAGTTCTGAGCATCCCCCGATCACTTCTAGGGCCATTCTAGGGATTGCAAATTATCCACTGCGGTGCTCAAAACTCAAAACGCAGACCCGGCCAGTTATCACTGTGTTCCCCAATCGCAAATAGGGGAGGTTTGGCATGCACCGCATTTGGGAGCTCCAATTTGATGGTCACTTGATGGTACAAACTACCGGGAATGCTTTGACTTGCCAGGTGCCACACTTCAATGCGGGCTTGCCCTTTTGGATCATTGCCTCCGGCAAGGTGTGCAGAAGTTTCGAGGTGTCGTGAAGGGTTCCTTATAGGGTCCTGTTAATCGTAATATACGTGACCGGTGACTGTTAGACTGTTTGGCAAGATCCAGGCAGGTCCAGCTATACTGTTGATCCTGCTTCGGCCTTGTTTCCAGCTGCTTGCACAGGGCAGCCAGCAGCCATTGCAGAGCTTGGTTTCACTGAGTGGGTTGATCCTGATTTGATCCTGATGGTGGGATAGACTGGAGGGTCAGGAGTCGGAAGCTGCGTTTCACGCATGGGTGGTGAGATGGGTGGTGGGTTGCAACGATGGTGCCGTCATCCCCAGCTGGGAGGACCAGCTGGGATGACTGCAACGATGCACTCCAGCTTCTTTTCCAACACTTTGGGCAGACATCACCAAAGATCAGGTCGAACTCTCCCAGGAACGTCGTTTTTCTTTCCACCTCAGGTGGGCTGCTCCCTGGTGGCCTACTTTGTGCACGTCCACGAGCGCTTCACGGCGCGGCGCATCCGCTGGAGCTTGCGGGCGAACCTGCTTTTGGTCATCGGACTGGTGCAGCTGGTGCCGCGGCGCAGCTTGTGGTGTCGTCGGCCACGCGACGACAGGACGACCGCGCCGGTCGGCGCGCCGGTCGGTCGAATCCAGTCGCAGGGTTGGTGAATTGGAACGTTTGGAAGCGTTGCTTTTGCCCCTAAAGAAGCAGCACGACCGAAACGAGCCCGCTCGCAAGAAGTGGGTATCATGCAGGGGGGTCCGAGTGGGTGCCCATGCCTTCGAAAGCATCCAGGGTGGCCAGTTCCGTTTAATTTGGCAGGTTCTTTTTTGTTGGAGTTTTTCTGTTATTTTGGGAATCCTACTTTGGATCAAGAGGACGGAAGATGGAACACGTTCGTATGCATCGCACGGTCCACCTGAAAGGAGAATCGGCCCTTGGGTTTGATGCCATTCCCGGAGCCGTGACTGTCAGGTGCAAGTCTTGGTGAGCTTCCAGGAATATCTGGCGGGCACGATCAGCTTTGAGAGATTCGGCCACTTCTGTGTCATCTCGTCTCTTGGTTCTGTGAGTGGGGGTGCAAGGCTTGGGCGGAACATCCTTTGGACCAGATGTCTTGAGACTGCGAGGCTGATGGGCCAGGTGATCCCGGAGGTGTGCGTTCTTCTTGGCTTCTCGGTGGAGATGGAGGGTGCTGCCGACCTGCCGCCCGGACATTGGAGATGGACCTGGGTCACGCAATGAAGAATTCCCAGATGAGGCGTACACACAAATATACATAATACGCCTGGAAGATTAACATGGAACCTCAAAACGATTGGGTTGTAAAGAAAACTAATCAATCTATATAAATAAATCAACACACACACATATATATATATACTGACCAGTATATATATATATATATTTATACTCACTATATACATTATGCATAGTAGTAATACATGTAGGCGAATTCAAGACCGATTTCCGCATTCCGAGTGCGGGGCCCTTTGGGCTCCAAGTCCGTCTGAGGTGAGTTTTTCACCTCCACGGACTACTCGCCGGTGCGGTCTTTGGCGATGAATGCCGACCTGGGCATCGTGCAAGTGGTGCTCCAAGGTCCGGAGGGCGACGATCGCATCTGTCGTAGACAAGTCTGTATGGAATCTTAGCCAGGACTGCACGCTTTTGAACCACAGAAGTCCGTGGCATTCCGTTTCTGTGCTGCTTACTTGGCTTTGTTTGTTGTGCACGGTGCCTGTGTGATTGATTTGTGCAAGGCTTTGGCCAGGGCTTCTTCTCGACAGGCGTTCTCACAGAGTGGTCAGAACATGGACATTGACTGGACCTGGGGCATGTTGCTTGTTTTGCTATATGCTCTGTCTCGCGCGCCTCTCTCTCTCTCTCGTTTTTCTTCTTGAATAGTCAAAACTACATATGTATATATATATATATAGTTTTTTGAAAAAGAGGCCTACTGTTGTGCATGATGGACTTGACACCAAAGTGACCAAGCCGCTATTTGTGAAAGGCTCGTCCATGAGTAGAATAGAAAGAAACACATTTACAAGCGCGATCAACCTTTTAATGTCAAAGATTTCACATTTTACTTATGGATGCTTATTTTATGATGTTCTTGCCATTCATTAACGTGGGGAAACTGTTTGCAAGTAATCTTTTTACCACAGCAAGATGTGTTTGAGATCTCCGCGAGGCCTTCCAGCCGTCGTTATCATCACATGTGTGGCTTCTGGCCTGCACGCGAGGAAGCGTCACATGTGACATGGGGGAACACACTTGCAGGGCCTGGATAGCACCTCCGAAAACAGATAGAAAGGACACCCAAGACATTATCTATGTTTTTTTTGTTTTTCGTCGCTTTTCAAACTCTTTTCCGTTTGTTGTGGCGTCAGTGCCCCTGGGATCCGATACCAATGCCATGACATGGGGATAGGGCAAGGAGTTTCACAGCGATCTGCAAGAACTCAGCCCAGACGTGGTCAGGTGATCATGTTCTTCCAAAAGCTATTCTGCACCTGTCCGAAACGTTACATTTACTAGATCATCCTTATATAATACGGCATTTTATTTTCTCAATTCTAATTCTCGTCACACCCCTCTGGTCTTTGGGAGAAAAAGCAGCGACCGATGCCGCCATCGTTGCGACGTGCCGTGCCATCGGTCTCAGGTGGCCACTTGGCGCTTGGAGCAGCACTACGGTTTGGCATTGCTGAGTGCTTCCTCCGTCAGTGGAACGGGCCACTTGTGCGGCCGAGCGAGCGAGCGAAACGCACCCGACACCCCACCGAGCGAACCGGGGGGAATCGGGGAGGTGTCTCTGTGGCCCAAACGAGTTTGGTTGGATGGTCCTTCTTTCCAAAGAGGTCGCGGCGTTTTTCGTTCGTGCGCCCACCTTTTCACTGTGGTTGAGTTCGGACTTGGCTCCCCAGCGAGTCTGAGGTTTCCAAGGGGGCATTGCATCCTTTGGGGCCATTGCCACCAATGCCCACAAGGTGTGGACCAGCTTCGTAGAACTCTTTCTTGAGGAAAGTGCGCAAAAAGAACAACAGGCATCTACGAGGGAAACCTTGAGCCTTGAGTCGTGTTGTTTCGCTGCTGCTATGAGTAGCTTCCAAACTCGCAGATCATCCACTTGACGACGTACCATCCGATGAGCCGGCACCGTGCGAACATTTGTGCTGCGCTCGGTGCGCGGAGCTTAGTTGGACATCCCATTCCTTGGAGAGTTTTTTCTGTGAAATGCCTTGTGAATGGTCCGCTGCTCCATTCACCGGGTATAAATCCTCTAATGTATATAGACTCTAGATTAATAACCTCCCCAGATGAAGAGGATTTCCAATTCAATTGATGGTGGTTATTAATCAAGAGCCTACATTAGTTTTGTTGCATGACCAAGGACACCACTGCCCATGCTGGCAACACCATCTCTGCTGTGAATGCCTTCAGTGTTCCTCAGATGCAGTTAATCCAAGCATGGACAAAGGGCTTGGTTGTAGTAGGTCCATGACGGCATGTGTGCATCTATGTTTATGCTTTGATGGACTAGGCACCAGACTCTCCGTATTTGTGTGCCTCCTCAGTTGGTGTAGCCGATCACGGTGATGTGAGAAGCAAGCAGGCTATTTAGAGGCCGCTGATAGCTTCCACGAATGAAAGTGATGAGGCCGTGTTCAATATTGCCCTCACCTTGCTTGCACAAGCTTACACCGAGCTTGACATCAACTATATGAACGTCACTGGCTCGATCTTGTCCAGCTACAGCTTCTTGGCCCAATGCCAAAAGGGGCACCCCCAAACGAAAAGAAAGAACAAGGCAACCACACGAGTCCACAAGAACTACAGGGATTCCTCCATCAAGCTATCAAGCGGCCAGTTTTTCAATCGGCCAGGATGGTTTTTTTTGGCGCCGAGTTGGGATGGAAGAAAGAGACCAAACACAGACAAAAGCACCTTCAGGTCAAGCCGGCCTGGTCCTGGGTGTTGTAATGACCTTTGCCTTTGCTGCGAACACCATGATCAGCTGCCTGCAGACAGCGCAAGCCTTTGCAAAGTACGTGGCGCAATACGAGATTGGGAAGATTGCACAGCTGCCGTTCCCACAGCGGCGCAGCCGGATATTTTTGTGTGTTCTTTTGTGTTTTGGTGAGGTGATTCCAGAAGACGTCCAGATATGGCTGGTGTCGTAGGTGACCATTGAGGATCACAGGCTTTGGCCACACCTTTTGGTCCCCAGGTCGCATGTGAGACCTTTGAAGAAGCTGGCATCCTTTGGTACGATCACATCGATGCGCATGACGATCTCACCCATCATCAACTCCTTAGCCTGTCCCATGATCGGTGGCTTCTTCCTCGGCGTGAAAGGCGTGTTATTTGGTGTGGGAGAAGCGCGTGTAAACGCAAGTCAAGTGCTGTTGCTTTTCAGTCCAGTTCTGCATTGAACACTTGGCACCCGCAGGTCTTCTTTTCATGATCTCGGGTTCCAATGTGCTAGTACTCTGCCTCAGCATTTTCCTCATCAACTCTGGGCAATCATGGGTGGCGGCAAGGACAGGCTGGACAGGTTGGGACGTCGGGCGGCTCCACTTGTCAAGTGGCAGGAAATTTGTCCTCTTCGGCCTTCTCCGAGACAAAGACGGCAACGTCATAGGCAAGGCGACGCAGATGTGTCTCAACGCTTGCCATCATTGCAGTTATATATACATATATGATATATATATATATATAACCAACAGATTCGCTTGTTGCACAATTTGCACAATTCATTTAGCTGGGCACGTGGTGTTGGGAATCAGCCCCACACTCGTGCGGGTCGACCCTCCCCAGACCGACACCAGACCGAGACCGGGGACCCTAGACCGACCCGACCCTCCCGAGGTCCGGACTCGCCGCACTATGCGAACCTGGGCATCGGCGAGACGATCGGGGGGCCTTTTGAGGACACCACCGGGCCGGCGGGGGAAGCCCGGCCGTGCGGTCCGAGGATCAGAACGTGCGGCGGTCAGAGTTGGGAGGGGAACCTGAAATCGGACACGTCCTGTTGGATGGCCAAAACAGGTCCCAAATGGTCCAAAAGGTATGTCTTGGGACTTCTGGTGGAGGCGTTCTCCATGGACCCTCTTCTTGGATTCTTGGCGATGTTTTTGGGTGTATCGAAATAGGTGGACCATGATAGCTTCAATACTTTCTTGTTCCTTTTGCTGTTCTGCCATGCACTTCGAAGTCTTCACCTTGAAGTCTTCAGTCCCTTCAGTCCCAATCGTAGACAACTCCATCGCTTTGATTCACTTTGTTTGGTTTTAATTTACCCCGCTTTTTTGGATTTGTGGTCACTCACAAATGAGCTAGTTGACTAGACTGTTCCTAGTTCACTACTTTCCCTTGATGGCTTTGTCGAGCTACTTCATCCGCCCCATGCGGATGTGGAACTCATCGGTTGCAAGCCGAAGCCGTTGATCTCTTTCGGTCCCACAGAGCGACTCGAGGCGTTAGGCCGTTAGGCGCGACGTCACCGTTTGAGGTCCCCGAATCAAGCAAAGCTGTCAACTTACTAGTAGTAACAAGAAGCTATTAGAAACAAGTGCATCTCAACAATACAAGGAAGATAGACATGATTCAATGGATGTTTTTTGTGATGGAATCATGTTCTTCACTTCTAGTCACTTTGTTGGGCCACCTTCGTTCCGTTTGGGTGGTTCACTCCTCAACATTTGGCGTGCCTTACAGGAATGCTTGTGGCAGTGGTTGATGTCGGTAGCCTTACCTTGATTTAGGCCATGAACAACTTCATCAAGTTTGTGGCCGTCTTCGCCTTCGCCACTTGCCTCTCTGACTTGCGTTGTCCTTGCGGTCAGATGCTGTCATCATTTTGCCAGAAAGAATCGAGAAGATGTGAGATGTGGATCTTCCAGTAAGATGTGGATCTTTCAAAACTCAAGAAGGGATGGGTTGCCCACATCTTTCTGGCAATCCCATTTGAAGAAACCCTCGACTGTAGACGTTGTGCGTGTGCGTGTGCGTGTCCCTGTCCGTGTGCATGTGCGTGTGCGTGTGTGTTCGCTGTCTTGTCTCACAATGTAACAGGCATTCGCCTTCAACTTAGGTGACTGGCGGGCCCGGCAGGCTGTATGTCGGCACCTTAGACATGCATGGAAGGTGGGACCCAGGAGAGGATGAAGAGGAAAGGAGAAAAGTGAAAAAGGAAAGCTCCATACAGTGGAAAGAACCCTCCAATGTTTTTGGGTCGTGCGGCTCCTACCCACCCACCTACCAGTCATAACAGTCCGGCCGAGGATGAGCTTCCCACCAATACCTGGCCCTTTGGGTTTGCGTCTGTGGTGGGTGGCCGGCCTCAGAGAGGGCAAGGGCAAGGTTGGGCACATGGGAAGTTTCACATGATTTGACGAGTGAGATAGTTTCCACAAACACAATTTGCTAGGGATCCATTCTTTGCACGATGTCCTTCGCCTCCTGTGCAGTTAGGGGGTAGCTGAATGTGACGCTGCTTCTGTCCCAAGTGGTCTGCAATTTTGAAGGTTACAGAGTTATAAGAGCTGCCGGTTGGCCCTGGCTCCCACTCAAAGCAGAGAGCTAAGTCACACACACACACACACACGCATATATATATATATAAAACTCCTGAAATTTCACTTCTGATTAGGACGGGGCCTGTTCAAGATTCAGTTCAATCCCGGCATCAACACCCTCTTCTGGGAACCGCCTCATTTTGGAACGCGGGATTAGTCGGGATTAGGCTCGTTTTGGAATGTGGGAGGTTAGGATCGTTTTGGAGCAGCGCGTGTAACTAATATATGTTTTTTGTCCCTTTTTCTTGTGATGTGTAGTTTCTATGGTCTTTGTTTCTAGTCTGAGTCTTGGTTGTGTTTTCTTTTTCTTTTCTTCTGATGTGCGGTTTCTATGCTTTTTTTGGTCATTGTTCCAGTTGTCCAACATCATCCTAATCATGTGTTCCAAAATGGTCCTCCTCCCTCTCTAGACTGCAAGAGGAAAGTAGTGCTTCTGTGTCCTTGCGTCTTCCAAAGCCATGGACCTAGATGATTGATAGGGAGAGAATGATAGATATGATAGAATTAGATAGACCTCATGTTTTCACCTTTAGGTGGCATGCGGGGACCTATAGTGAGAAGATAAAGGCATGTGTCCAAATTCGCCATTTGCCAGGCATTGAACTCGTACATTGTCCTACATGTTCTTGTTTTTCACGCACATGTGGGGCCGCTCGCGCATGCCATGTGCAATGTGCACTCTCCTTTAGGGCACTAATGCAGCAACCAGGACAACGGCATGATATTGCACAACCACGCGCACAGATACTGGCTGCTATACCTATAGACCACAAGGCCACATACCATGCCATACAGAATCAGCATCCTCAAACTTCAGGTGGTTGGCAGCCAGAAGCATATACTCAACCAAAATCAAGATATGAGATGATATGAGTTCGTGTGGTCCGCACTCATAGGCTCACTGTCCTTGGTCTTCTTCTCGCGGGCAGCAGCCTCAGACGAAGCAACGAGAAGTACAGCAAAAGAGAAAGTACACCAAGTGGATCTAATACCCTGTAAGCCTGGTTGACGGAAAGCTTGGCGAGATGAACCCATTGTTTTTAACAGGTACATGCGTTTTGCCGCATGTCCCTCCGAAGAGTGTTGCGGCATTGCGTGGTAGTGGTGTTTGCGAGCTGAGTGCAGTATGCGACCAGGTTGGACTAGACCTACTTCTGAAGGGCCTGGGGTCATTCCTACAGCGGCGGAAGAAGATGCAAGCCTACGAGGACGGCGTTTTTTTGCACGAGAACACAGCACCCTCAGAATCACCATGTTGAAGACCTGCTACGCAAGCTTTCATGGGCCCGTGGGCCAATGGCTGATGCATGGTGACTGGGCACAATCTGCAATTTTTGGGCAACAGGAGGGTGAAGAGCCTCCGCCAGAGGAGAAGGATGAATTTGAGGATTTGTAGTGGCCACTGCGCCGAAATGATTCTTCTGGTCGTGTTTCACTCCAGCATGCTGAAATACAGCAGGTTGAGGTAGAAGAGGGTGCAAAAGGTCACCATGCAAAAAGAAGTGCGTGAGGAATTCAAAGTGTTGAAGGTGGACCCTCCGGCAAGTTTCGAACATGCCACTGTGGTAAGACTCTTTGACATCAGGTGACATGTGACGTTCTCTTGAATCTCATTGACGCCAGTGCACTGACGCCTTGAGCAAGGCCAGAGCGTTACAAAGATTTCCAGGATTTTTTGCGAACGCTGGCAACTCAGGTTCCTGCAGTGTGTCAGAGGATGTCATGGTTTGCACTGGTGCTGGTAGGCCACCTGAGTTTGGATCTTTCAAATCCTTAACACTGGCAGGTTCGACTTCAGGGCAGGTTCGACTTCGATGATTGAGGTCTAGGTTAGCCCGCATTCTGTGTATGCCATATTGCAGTTGGTTTATGTTAGTGGCAGGTTGGACCATGGATTGAGAGTGGGAATGAGTCTATGTTAGTATATGGCAAATGGCCCCAGGGCCCGCCAATACCGTTTCTCCAGGAAGTCACCGTTTCAAGCAGTCCATGTTAAATAGCACCTGGATTTGGGTTTTGGTGCATGTGTATTTTTTTTGAACCGGAGTAAATCTACAAATTCACCGAATGCAATTGGCTACCTCTTCATCTCCACAACCCGGACAGAGAGATCAACGACCGTTGGGCACCTCCAGGTCCGGTTTTCGTCGTTGGGGCGGGACTGGATGGGACGGGACGCTCAGGTTGCGCGTGAAGAGGGCGCGGGAGATTGCCAAGCAGAGAGCAGCCGGGCTCACCAGTGAGAGGTTTGCGTGAATCAGCCTCTCAGTCCGGGTTGGACCCTCGAGTAGCTTTGGTTTTGGACATCGATCCCTTGTAGTCCGAAAACCCTTCCCAATCCGAAGATGAACAGAATGGATTGTCCGCCTGGGCGTTTTTGATGACTTTTATGACCAACTCAGGAACTCAAAGAGGCCATAAGCAAGCTGGGAGCCCGGCCCTTGGGCAGTAGCGAGCCTGGAGCTGAAAACGGGGGTTTTCGGCCTCCCTGTAGGTGAACGGTAGTTTCTACATTTGGCTATTCCATTGGATTTGTGTTCTATTTTGTCACTGCTGGTTTGGTCGGTTTGGTTAGTCTGGTTGGTGGTTTGGCACCACCCCGTCCGGCCTCGGGGTTAGAGTGCTGACCAGGTGGCCCACGCCCTTCGCCCTTCCTCCATCTTCCGCCCTTCCCCAAACATAAGCAACTTAGAGAGAGAAGAACTTCCTTCTGCATCACGTGGCTGTGACAAGGGAACGAACTAGGGAACTAGGGGAGTGTACCTCCATCATCCAGGGGCACATCCAAGTCATTGACGGCTCCAGAACGCCATCTGCGGCCCGGGCGCCCGAGTCCGGCGGAAGTCCGGTCGACCCGTCCGCGCGGTCTCCGGCGACCGGCCTCGGTGGCAGGTCACCCCTGAGTTGCTGTCAGAGGTGCGTGGGCCTGAGATTGAATGGAAGGTGGCACCTGCGTCACGCGCCTGAATCCGATTCCACCAACGTGACGCTGATGCAGCCAAAGCCTTGTCAACGGTCTGGCGCGGAGGTTCATTGAGGATGGAACGCTTTGTTGAAGAAAGCCGAGGTTCGATGCCTGCTATGCCCCGACCCAGTCCAAGACTCGGCACGATTTTGTGTTGTGTATGGAGGTGGCCTACACGTGCATGCTGCAAGTCGCAGACCTATTAGCATGGCAGGAGAACATTCTTGGATTTCCTGCCTTGAGGTGTTCGAGCCCCACGACATAGCAACATTAACATACAGCCCATACAGCACCTCTTCCCAGCAACTACTAGTCGCCGTCATCCTCAAGTGCCGGTGCATATTGGCAATTTGTCCATGCTTCAGCACTCCTTCGATTTGGCAGGTTGAAGCATGGCAACTTTGAGAATAGAAAAGGCGATCCCAGATATCCCAGGCAAGAGCCGACTCAGAGAGATGTCTTCGGCAGACTCAGAGAGATGTGTTTCGACTGCCAGGTTCGACCTCACCAGGGACTTCTTCACTCGGCTGGGCTGGAGCCACAGCACTGATCACCTAAACGACTGGAAAACGAGAACAGGAATTCTCTAGTGAGGCGAACGGATTCCTCATCGAATACTGCTGGTTCTCGCCCGTGTGGCACTGAGTCACTGGGGATCTGTGGAAGGAGGCCGGAGGCGGCGCAGGAGGCGCAGGAGGCGCAGGCGGCGTAGTGCAGCCCAGGCCAAGGCGAGCAGATCCTTGGTGGAGGGCCAGGGCCTCAGCCCGCAGAGGGGCGTAGCGGCTTGGCCGCTTGAAGTGCCGTCAAGCACCCCCCCAACAAGCACTGATCCTTGGTATGTTGAGCAACCGAAGAATGAAGAAAGGCTGCTCAAAACTGGTCCTTTCGCTTCGCTTGCCGTTGTCCATCCAGGTTGTTCTTCATCAAAGCCGGGCGGATCTATGGCCGGTACTGGGGGTCCGGTCGCCCATGGGACTGGGAGCCTTTGACCACTCCAAAGATGTGTCATTTCAAACCCGAAGAATTGGTGACAGGTGCAGAGAGGAACGGCCCGACCTGCCATTTTTGCACTTCGAGTGCTGCTACTATGCAGTTGGCCACTCAATTCTGATTTGGGTGACGGTTAGCCGTTTAGCCAACAGATGTGACGGAACGTGATTGAACATGAACATGGATGACGACGAGGCCATCGAACACGCCATCCACCACGGCTACGAGTCAGAGCCCTTGGCAAGAAGAGACCTGATCGTTACGACGGCTACGAGTGTCCTGCGAGGCGAATTGAGCCCGGAAATGGCGGAGGCGGCGTCTGCCAGGCCACTCCAAAGGTGGAAGTGGAGCCCCTAACGTTCCAACCATGCGATGGCATCGCTGGAAACCGGAGTGGTCACAGTTTACCACTGACAATGAATCTCCCAGATGTTAGCGAAAGAGAGCATCCAAGAGAACAAATTGACAAGAACCCCCCCATCTTGAGACACACCCACACACTCACTTGGCAATAGAGGACTCATTACTTGTATTATCATTGAATCTTCTCCTATCCAGAGTCATCCCCACCTCATATGGAGGACTCTATGTCCTTGGCAGGTGCAACGGAGGCGAGGCTTCAACCCTGCCTGGCACTCAGCCCACACCCAGTTCTTGGCCCGTTGGTGGCTGCTTTTACAATATCTCAGCAACCTGGGACCGGTACACCCAACTGCTGCAGGATTCTAAATATATTGTACAAGTTAAACATCCCGTCTTGTCAAAAGTGCTGTCACCCCTTCTGTGTGCATGAACTTGACCCACCGCCGGGACGAGGTCCCAACCTCCTCCTATCACTTCATCCCGGATGAAGCGCTGCGGGAAGAGGCTGCTCGTGGTCGTTTCCGCTGTTGGGTGCTGAATGCCGCACGGCACCGTTGGGCCATGTGCAGGTGACCCAGCTTGCCCGGGAGGCGGCCAAGGTCCAACCCTCCTGGACGGTGCCCAGGGACGGTGCGAGGGGTGCGGCTGGATCGTTTGGACCTCTCAGGTACAACGAAATTCTGCTTATGCACCAAAGCCGCGAGAATACCGCCGCTCGGCCTGAAGATGGCTCATCTGCTGGAATGCAACATGTCTACCAGTGAGCCCAATTTTGAGGACTTGTTTTGCCTCCTTGGAGGGGGTTGTGTGAGAGTGTGCAAGCGTAGTGATTCAATGAGATCTGTTCATTGACACGCTTCATGTGCCTTTGGCCGGCCGCAGTGCTTTGCTCAAAAGAGGGTTAGAGCAACCCACTGGCGTGTCCGTCAACACCAGATGTGCGCTAATGGGGTCTGTACTGTCTGGACAGTGCCTCGGCAGCAATGACTTGCTTGCTCTGAGCGTCTCGACAGCTGTCACAGTAAGGACCCCGTTCTCCCATGGATCCTTGGTCGGACTCCTAGTGCAAAGCTTCGGTGGCGGGGCTTTTAATCGTTGTAGTCTATGTCTCCTTTGTTGTGCTCAGATCCTATTGGCGCAGACAGTTTGGAATTCAGGTTGGCATTTTTGAAGGGCAGCTGACGCAGAAGTATGAGATCTTGCGACAGAGACTGTGCTGAAGTTATCTGATGCCTGTGGTGTATTCGCGGACATTCTTAGGGTTGACATAGCTGCCTCAGCATTCAGCTAAGCCTTACAGTAGCTGGTGGCTTTGATCGATTTAGACTGGCTGGCCCGGAACTCTACCTGTATATAAACAAGCTTGGACGCCCCTAGATGCCCAGCTCACCCTCTTTGTGCTCCATGCGAATGCAAGGCTCGGTACTGGCAGGCAAGGAAAGACCTTCCTAGTGAGGCTGGTCTCTGGTACATATGCGTCAAGCACTCCGACAGACACTTTGTCGGACAGGTGTTGTATTACTTATTAAGACACCGGCAGACGCCACATGTCGCGCAGGGGGAAATCTGAACAGAAAAGCCTTTTCGTGGCCAAGGAGAGTCACGAAAAGCTCCTTGGCATAGGAGGCTGAACGAGGACGTTTGCGAACCGCGTGTGGGCGCGTCGATTGAGTTGATCGGTTCCTTTTCGAGTTTGTTATCTCATGATGTCATGACTCGGCTCAGGGACCCTTATGCCATTGCAGATTTGCGGAAGGAGTTTGACTACCTGAAGCGAATCTTGGAAGCAAGTGCGTGTGTCAAATTCAGGGCCAACTTCTGCTCAGCTTCTTTGGGGTGCTTTTCCTTGCATGCAGGCGGTTCAGATTTTCTGGGTTGGTTCCTCCTTGCCTGATGAGAGAAACAGACAAGCCGATTTCATAAAGCCTGTCACCAGCAGAAGTCCAAAGTAGTCTACAAATAGCTCCAGGAGAGCATGTTCAACATGATTTGTTTGATCGTCCGGTTGTTGGTTAAGGTTCTTGGAATAGGTCATGACAGGAATGATGACAGATTTAAGTTCTATGCATCGCAAAGCTACGTGAAACACTCCTTTCTTGCGTTTGTGGCTAGGTTTGCAGCATCCAAATATCTCGAAGGCTGGCTGCTTGAAACAAGGGTTCGTCATTGTTGGATATTGTTGGGAGGTAACGATTTTTTTATCCAAGAAGGAATCTGAGGCGGCCAAGGCCTCTGGATTACGGGTCACACAAAACAGGACCAAGGTAACAGGATGTTGAGCTTCTGCTTGCAAACTCGGGCGTTATTTTTGCTTGAGTTATTTGAGCCACCGATTTTTGAATGAGTCTTGCCAGGTCTTGGAACTGGTGCTGGGCAAAGAGTTGGAGGAAGGACAATGGACTGATCGATTGTATGTGATCTCCGAGCTGGCTGCTGGGGCCTGAGAAGGGGTCTTGGCATTGACGAGAAGATTGCTTTCGACCAGTAGCAACACGTGCCCGTGCATCTTTTGTTGGCCACTTGGCAGTTGGAACACCTTTGAGGGCTTAGCGGCTTGTTGCTCAGGCTGGAAGCGACTTGCTTCAGTACATGAAGAAAATGCACCTGGGCCGAGAGCTGCTCCTGGCGGGATGTTGTCGGATGTTTCCTGCGATTTTTGTTCAGGATTGAGCATCAGCGTACTCTTCGAGAAGATTGGATGGCGAAAGTCCTTCACCAGATCATGAGTGGTGTAGCCTATTTGCACAGCTCTGAGCTCAGTGGATGGGGATGAATAGGGACGGATGTATGGTTCGGGGATGGGCGGATCCCTGAGCATTGCAGGTGAGCGGGTGGTTCACAACGACCTCAAGCCGGACAATATCCTTTGCATCCAAGAGCGCCCCGGACCAGACTTGTGCCCGAAAATTGTGGCATTCGCACAGAAGCTGTGGGTTGGGTGGGGCCCCTAAAACTGATTAAACATAGGGGGTGGAGGCTTGTGCAGGACGACAAAAACGGCTTGGTCACGAGCAGGTTCCAGCCGGATTCTCCCGACCTGGTGCCTTGGGTCACGCTGACGGACTTTGGATGTGCCAAGGCGCGCCCAGTTCGGTCGCGCCAAGGGCGTGGACACGCGGGAAAGGAGGGAAAGGAGGGAGGATGAGACGAAATGTGAGAAGTTTCAGCCCGACTCAGGCTGATGCTGAATGACACATCCAAATAGAGCATATCAAGATATTGACATTGAGGTTCAAGCCAGAAGTGTGTGGAAGGGAATAGGCCCCGTTTGTGCTTTTGTCCAGATTCTTTTTGGGGTTCTCTCCTTGTCCACTTGTTCTCCAGGTCAGAGATGAAGAGGACTTTGTGTGCGGCGACCCGCGCTACCAGTCTCCTGAGACTCTGAGAGCTCTGGTGGCCCATTTAAAGGGTCAGACAGCAGCTGCTCTTGACCGATCCTTGGAGGGGTGAAGACCGATCCGACGAGGGGAGGGGTGGGGAGGTGACCGCTCGGACCCGCAACCGACCGGTTCGATTCGGCGAACAAAACGGGTCCAAGGCAGAGGCAACGGTTTGTCCCATGACCTGTAACAGGCAAAGCATGATCACTGTTTTGGAGAAAGGCCTTTACTAAGCATCATCCACTGTTACGGGTAATGAGATATGCCATATGCCCATGTATATTGTATATATATATATATAAATCCGTCCTTGATGAACCACAGTGCTCCTCGGTAGGTCTGGTCTGGTCGAGGAGTCGATGACCCCGGGGTCTGGCAGAGGGGAGACGAAACGATCATTCGATCAAGTGGACCCAAACGCGAGGTGTGCAGTGGACCCATGTGTGTCTCACCAGCACGAACCTTTCTGATCACTAGTTGCACTACACCACTGGGTATCTGAAACTTTCTGAAGTTTTTTGTGGAGGAACTCATTGGGAACACTGAAAACCAGTGGTTCTAGTACCAGTCGGAACACTTCCTTGGGCTTGAACGAGACCTCAGGACAGATCGGCTACCAAGCCGACATTTGGTCCTTGGGAGTGACGCTCTTTGAGCTGCTCAGTGGAGGTGGACGGAGCGTCCATGATCTAAACTGCTGGTTAGGGTGGAGTCTTTCAATCTGCTAGTCCTACAGTCCTACTGCTGGTTCTGGATCCTACTTCTTTATTACCATGAATCTAGCCAACATGGTCCAAGTCTTGCAGCTGGATCCTACCGTACGTAGGTCTGAGCCAGTCCTGCTGAGCAGAGACGCGAGCTGCATTTTGTGCAGCACGTGCAGGTGTGATGCCATTCATCTATGAAGCCGTCCATCTCAACGATGTCACCCACAATGCCGCACGATGGGAGAAGCTCAAAGTGGAGGTCATGGAGAAGGAGCCCGCAGCCGGTGTGGCTTTGGTAAACCTGGGTCAGGGGAAACCACAAATTTTGCTAAGGAGTGGTGTCCGCTGGTTTGACACGTGCGACCGCTCCAGCATCAATTTCCCCGCCCCCCCTTTTCAGAGGACCCCCGCGAGGGGTGATCCAAGCACCTCAACCGATGCTGACCCAGCTTCGCGGTGGGCCCATCGCAGGGCCCACCGGGTTGACGAAGGAGCAGAACCCTTCGGAACCCTTCGACCAAATTGGGAGGTCAATGAGCCACCTGGGGTCTGGTGAGGTTGAGCGAGAGGTGTTTGTATGATTTTGTATGTTACTGCCGCATCCCCAAGTGCCTCAGGCACCTGACAGAAGTGCAGTGCAGATGCCAGCTTTATTTGGTCACATGTGGTCAGATTGTCAGCATTGCTTGAGAACTGCGTTTGTTGTTGAGGCTGTGCCTGGTGCAAAGAGAGCTTCCATTATCATGATTTTTTTGTTTTTTTTTGCAAGTTGTAGCGGCTCAGAAAGGGCGTGTCAGATGTCTGTTTGTATCGTGCGGGACCCCTTTGATGCTGTGTTCTTGCGTCCCCCTGATACGGTATCATCATGATTGAGCCACGAACAAGGCGTTGAACCCCAAACATCATCTCACACCCTGGCGTTGACAGGAACTCGTTCTGGATCCTTACTTGGCAGGCAGGGCAGAGCCGGCAGAGGGCTGCTGTTCCTTCACAAGCCCGCTGCAATGCTGCGCTGGTTGTTGCCCGCTTTCGAGGTGCTACGACCGCTGCAAGGGATTTGGTCTCAAGAATGCTCTCCAAGGAAGGGTCGTGTGAGGGATGGTCAGTGATCACTGTAGTACCTACATGCGCGTTTGGAAATGGATGAGGGAACTCGCACACTCTGCAGACTTACGAATTATACACCGCGGGTCGTGGTTATTTGGCTGGCTGGCTGGGTGGTTGGTTGGCTGGTTGGTTGGTTGGTTGGGTGGGTGGGTTGGTTGGGTGGGTGGGTGGGTTGGTTGGTGAGCTGGGGAATGGGAAACCCTTGCCATCCCTGGCGTTGTTCTTCGGAGAGCCACATGAGCTGAAGCTTATATAAGTTGGTCCTGAATCTAGCTCAGAGCTCAATCAGGGAACAGCAATTGTGACACCAGCGGAACCATGAGACCCAGGGTGTATGTCCCAGCTGGTGCAGACTTGTTTATATATGTCTCACGACTGTTCATATTCCAAATGCCCTTCAACGATGCTCAAGGCAAACTCGAACGTCTTCAAATCCCAAGTGGCTGAGAGTTGACCTTGAGGGTTGCTGGAGTATTCCGACCAGGATTAGCGCCAAAACAACTACCTCGCATTGCTCTGTAGCTGGATGAGTGAGTCTGGATGAGTCCAACAGCACCCCAAAGAAATAAAGTTCACCTAGGCAGATGATCTGTCATGTTTGAGTACAGCAGATTGGAGGTTACCAGTAATAGTTACCAGATGTAACAGATCCGCTGTCACCTCGCAGGACTGTAGTGCCAGACCTTCCGCCTTGGAGGTCCTGGAGGAGCGCTTTCTCCCGGGCACACCGGGCGCACCCCAAAAAGGGCCCTGGGCGGTCAGGGACCAACGGGTGATGAATTGTAGAGAAAAGTTGCTGTCCACACACATTCTTCTAAGTTATGGCTGGCTTTTGGTTGCAAGCTTTTATTTTCTTTTGGCAGGGCTTGGGTAGAGTTTTGGCGGGTACATTTGCATTTATTGCTGCACCCAAAGCTTTCATGTTTGACAGCTTGAGGGAAAACCTGGAACAACCAGCGCAACTGCGAAAGATCAGCATTTCAGCAATTTTGTCAGATGGTGGGAAATCCCCTCCGAAAAGGGCATGTATGCCAAGGAGCCTGTCAGACATAACCACTTCCAACACAACCACTTCAAACCGACCACACCGACTGCATCGCTTGGAGCGCCGGCTCGGCTGCAGTCGTGTCCTCCACGGCCCCGGCTCGGCTGCGCCGGCGACTGTCGGCAGGACAAGTGGTTCAGGTATCAAGGTCATCATTCGCTGAGCGAAGAGAACTTGGCCAGGCGGTTCGCAGTAAATATTGAGACGTTCAGGATAGTTCTGGTCCACCCACCCTGTTTGCCAGAAAAAACGGCCCACTTCATTTATCAGCTGTGGTTCGAGATCTTTGTTTAAGCAGAATTGAGAGCAAGTCTGAATACGATTGAATAAGGTCGGCCCGGCTTCCAGGATAAGAACGAGCCCCTCTAACTTTGGCCAGTTTTGCCACTTTTGTAAGGCATCTGCCACATAGTGCCACTGCACTGAAGTTTTGGATAAGCTTGGTGTGTGTTGGGGGTGGAACCCTTGCATGTCGGAGGCTCGAACTGAAGAAGACTAAGGCAGGAGGACATGGGCTCGAGCCACGTCTTGAGATTCCCAATGCGTTTGGTGCTACGTTTGGTTTCATCATCTAAATATAGTCGTTTGTGGATTCACAGTGTGGCCGTTGAACACAAAGCTCCTCAAGAGTCTTCTATTGGACTTCTACTCAAGAGTTGTGACCTTGTGAGCACGCAAAGCAGCGGAAAAGCCACGTTCTGCGCGTGGTGTTTCCCAGCTTCGGCACAGCGAAATGGCAGGGAATGGCGCACACCTTGCTGCTGAATGCCATGGCGATGAAACTTCAGCGGAGCCATTACGAGGAGAGCTGGAAGGTGGCCTACTCGCATGCGATTGAAGCGCCAAGCGAGCTGATTGAACCACAGATTGAGCATGCTCGAAGATGAGGCTAAGCCTCCATTTTCTGCTGATGGCGCCATGCATGCAATAGTAGGATGCAATGTTATGCTTTCCGCCCAATTCTGTCGCGGCTTCGTCGCACGTGGCAGGTCTTTCAGACGATTGACGCTGCAGGGCCCTGAGGAAGTTGATGTCCACCATGACATTTTTTGGCCTCAGTTGAACACCACAGGCTCGTTTTGTTCGCTTGGTGGGCCTCGCGTCGTGTTGCAGACTCGTGGACGCGGCAACACTGCGACCTCCGGCTCACGCGCTGGTTTGGGGACAACGGCTGGCTGAGGATAACGACGGGAGCTTGTCACTGGAGGAGTTTCAACAAGCCTTTGAACTTTTGGCCGGCAGTCCGACCTCAGGCAGCGGGGGGTTGGCGGCCATGGAACCGGTGGACCGGACGGGAGCTGCTTTTGGTTCCATTTTTGGGTGCGAACTTGCGGCGACATCAGCAGACAGACGGTTCTTTCATGATCTCTAATGCGCATTCTAGTTGGCATTTCTCTGCGTATTCGTTGCTAAGAGTGGGGAACACGAGGCCGTCAGTGGATGATGATGATGATGAAACCGAAAAGGGGGCACCGTCCCGAGATGCTGCCAGTCTCTGAGGTTCCCTGTGCAAAAGCCCTATGACAAGGGATGATCCTCAAGGTGTCTGGGGGGTGGACGGAGATACGGAGGCTGTGAGCTTAACGACTGGTTCGCAAATTAAGCAACCACGTATTTTTTTGATTCAGGGCTATTGTAGTCTACAGCATGCACAATGTTGTTTGATCAATATCTATGTCCACTTGTGAACGAGATGGGGCCCCCACAGTGATCTGCTAATACAGTAGTCTGAAAGGCATATAGTGTAAGAAGACCTCCTTTAAAGTAGTCTACAGGAGGCAGGGCCTGCACTTGAGCTTGGTAGAGAGCGGTCATTTTTGCAGTTTTGCATGGGGAGTTCATACGGATGGGCGGGACAGCAGACAAGCGGGGAGCACGAACATGACATCATTCCCCAATGACATATTTTATGACGCTGATGAACGGCAGTTTTTCCCCCTAAAGCATGCTCGCTAGACAAATTCTAATTTTGCTAAAATATCAAGGTTTGCTCTGTGCTTGTGGCACCTTGCGTCACACCCGGCTGGCCGCGCTCACACTACCAGCGTTCTCGTGCTTTTGAGGTGCCTGGCTCGAGCACATTTTCAAAATGGCCGACATTGACAAGAATGGCCGCCTCAATTTTCCCGAGTTTGTTGCAGCACCTTGGGCGACTGGAACTCGCGGCCATGGAGCGGCCGTGTCGTCGAAGGGGGGGGAATATGTCAGCTGTGTCGTGAACGGTCGAAGTGAACGGTCGAAGTCTAGTGATCGTCTGTCGTTGGGGCGGCTGTGTCGTGAACTCCCAAAATCCAATGGCTGAGTTGGAGGTTGGGTTGCAGACAAAGAGTCGAGTCGATCGGCTGCAGAGAACTGTGAGTGGAACACGTTGGAGCGGTTCCAAGGTCACATTTGATTGGAACACGTTGGAGCGGTCGGTGCTGGATGGAATTCTGAAACGGCTCTTCAACCAGTTGGACAGAGATGGAAATGGTCAGGACCGCCGGATCTGAGCATCCTGAATTTTGGTAGAGGAAAGCCATTCAGAAGACCAGAGACACCCGCCATATGTGAAGGAGATGCACCCGCCATTTCATCATTAAGAGCATCATGACATGTGAAGGTGAAAAAAAAACCAGAGATGCACCCGCCAGGGTGGGTCAGCCAAACACTCAACACCCAAAGTGAAGACCGGACCCCGTTGTTTCCAAGAAACATATGGGAGGCATTGCCACTCGATTCGGCCGCAGGTCAGCATGGAGGAGTTGGCAAGCATCTTCAAGGGAGCTTTAAGCTGGTCTGAACTCGAGCAGGTTTGTACCAGGCACTGGGGAAAGCCATGGGCCATGGGTCTGACATTCCGGCCTCCGGGTGTTTTGGGAGGCACGACCGTGGCCGCGTATGTAGTGATCCAGTCGACTAGAGAGATCATGGTTGGTGCCAATGAGTTGGATCCACGTTCGCAACGAAGACCCGGGGAACAACCAGTGGCCATCCACAGTTGAATGATGTTGAAGGGTCTTGAAGGATTTGGAGATTTTCCTCCACTGGGCGTGCCGCCAAGCAACTCTGCATGCCCAGGATCGATGCAGATCAGGACGACGGGGGGATCACTCCAGCGCGGCCGCGCGTTCCGGCGGGGTCCGTTGGCCAAAGCCGTGGGGGGAAGGTGAGAAGTTCCACGCCAAAGCCGTTGGGCATTGCGCTTAAGCGCACTCTCCCAGTCAGATTTTCGCTGTATTTCGCCCATGGCCACGTTTGAGTGCTGGCCGAGAAACGGGGGCGTTCACCTGGAGTGGCAGGATGGGCATGTGACCTTGCAAGAGCTTCACGACTTCCTCTTTGAGAGTGTCTCTGACGAGGATCTCTCGCCTCCCGGACCGAGTCGGAGCGTCGGAGCGCGTTCGCGTCCGTCGGGGAGCTTCGTGTGCTGGAGCTGCTTCGGTCTCCAGACCTGGCCACCAGCGCCCCCGGGATCACTCGTTCATCCGTGAAAAATTCATCACCCCTAAGCGGGAAAAACATGTGAATTGAACGGAGTGAACGGATGACGGAGTCCGATGGGTTCTGTTCGGACAGGAACGGAAGCAGTTCTATATCCGGTTGGTGCTTTCTTGCTTTTCACGAAAGCTAGCACCAGCTAGCTGGAGTTGTCCTTGCTTTAGCAAGTGAGGGGCTGGAATCCTCGGGATCGCCGAATCACGTGAAAACTTCATATGTAGGGCCCCCCTTGCGTGGGTTCAACTCCCCTCGGACGCCTCTGGGACACCTCTCGGGCATCTCTTATGGCATCCACTTTGGCTTAACTCCTCCGGGATACGGTGCAACGGATTCAACAAGCTCACATGTTCATGACATCGACATCGATAGAAGAAACCAAACAAATCATGCAATCAGCTTTGTTTTGCCTCTGGGACACCTCTTGGGCACCTCTTATGGCTTCCACACTGGTTCAACTCCTCCGTGGAGGTTTTGGGATACGGTGCAACAGATTCAACAAGCTCACAGGTTCGTGAACACATCGGATGCATCGAACAGTGTGGCAAAGTCCAGCCACGCTTCCTTAATTATCGGGGACTTCAATTCTAAGGTTGGCTGTGTCATTGCTGTTTGTGTGTCTTACATGTTCACAACGTTTTACCTCATGAGCATTTGCCTCACTCCGCTTGATGTCCCACCAGTCCGGATGCACCCCTGCTAGCTTTCGTCACCTACCCTCGGCCTCAAGTAATTCATGGGGAAGCCTCCCCATGAAGCTGCGTGGTGATCGGAAGGGTGGATGTCGATTTCCTCATTTTGAAGAGGGGTCCACTTGTTCTTTCCAGCTTCGTCCAGCTTCTGCGCCCAGTTTGGCCGAGTAAGGCGGCTTTCAGCCACCGCGTCGCTGGGCCGAATGAGTTCCTACACCAAGCCAAAGCCAAGGCGGTTGGTTGGGGGCAGGTTGTTCGCAGGGTGGAGGGAAAGACCCGCTTGAAGAGGTCGTTTTCCCGGCTTTTCCAGGCGTTTCTTCATGTTGTTTCCGTCCTAGACCCCGGAATTCCAAGGGTTTTACATGCCAGACAATGACTCCGGACAATCATGGAAGTGCAAAAACATCAGTTTGTAGAGGAAAGTGGTCATGGAAGAGGTCATTTCAGGGAGTGTATTCATATGTGTTCCCTTTGCAATTCCAGACCAATTTGCCGAGTCAGGCCAGAGGTAAAGGTGGTAAAGGGCTGTCACGGGTCATGGAGGCAGAGTGATCTCAATGTATAAGAATAGAAGATAATAGAAGAGAATGGACTAGGAATGACGTGGAATATAGGAACATTACTTAGTTATAACAGTGTCTTCTTTGGATCCACATGTTATTCCACTTCTACCAGAGTCACTGGCTTTGTTGGTGCGAAGTGCACATTCGTGCCCGCCAATCGCAGGTCTGCCCTGAGCTCCGTACCAAACAGGTTTGCCTCCACTATGGCATGTTCCTGCTTTGCGTTCACAGTTTGGTCCAAGGGGGCCAAGGGCATCTGTAACTTTTGAACGTCTCCCGACAGTAACAGCTGTGGGGCTGGTTTTGCCAGAAGGATTCAGTGACGATGCCTTGACCAGCTGTGCTGGAATGTGGCATTGAAGTCACCGAACAAAAAAGATCCTACGTCACGTCGTGCTTGCTGTGCTCGAGCTGTGCTCGAGACGAGATCCAAAGTTGACATCGAAGCAGTCCACGGCACTTTTTCTTAGTGTTTGAGCTAGACTCAATTGGGCAATGGTCGCCTAGCGATTGCCACAGTTGTACTCTTGCATTTTGTACGGATGACTTCGGCTGATTGGAATCTTTGTCAAGGCCATAGTGACCACAGTGAAGAATGTGAGATGATTTATTGAACCGTAGTCATCTCCATTATCGATCTCATATTTGATCATATTTGTTTGTGAGTCTGGCAAAGCCAGTGCCATTCACAAGAAGAGAAGAGGTTCAAAAAAAGGTCGGTGCTGCTGCACTCCTCCGTAAGGCATGGCTGGCACAGCCGTTTCCTCATGTGAGATGCATCGTCACTCCATGGTTGCTTTCAGGCGATGCTGTATGAGATGTGGGCACTGGCAATTCATACAAGCTGCTCGCCTGTTTATCCGGTTGCTCAAGTTCAAATCTCACAATCTCGTACCAGGCGAATAGTCACAAAGTGGCATGAGCATGGATATATATATATAATTATATATATACGTGGTCGGTGGGTAGTGCCTGAGATGGAATGGAATATGTTGGCCGGTTGTGTGAGGATAGACAGGCTTGTGTACAAAGAGATTGCCGGTGGCTTTGGGCTGTGCGTTCCGTGACTAACGGGATCCCAGTCTCACAGATGTACTGGACATCGTGGCAACTGTTTGTGAAAGGCCCCAGCCGTTCCGTCCTAAATTTGCCCTGCAACATGAAGGTATGCTTGATTTCCACTTCAACTTGCCTCGAAGTAAGAGGCCGCACAAAACATACAAACCAAGAGTTGTCGGAGTAAGAGATTACTGTAAAACTGTCGGATTCGGGCTCTTCACTTCGAGAGTTATCCCACCTCGAGCCACCAGTCCAATGCTGCGCTGAGACGCCCACTGCTTCAGCTCTGCTTGAGCTTTCTGAGCCAAACAGCACAGGGTGGATGGCTTGATGATGTCTGATTGTTTCCAACTATATATAATGCCTTAATCCCCCCCTGGGAGGGCAAGAAGCTGATGCTTTTTTTGGGGGGTATTTTTTGTTGTATTTTCTGGTACTCGTACCTTGTGCAGGCATTTTCCAGGAATTTAAGAACCGCACCTCAGCATTTTTGAAGCCAAGGCGAGTGCATGCAAACACTGCGCAAAGAGAGTGGGTTCGTTTCTAGCTGCACATTTGCAGCAGTTGATCCACATAGAACTCGATGAGAGGAGTCGGGAGCCTGTCAATGCAACGGGTCGTCGCAGTGTTTGTATAGTCGTATAGTCCAATCATCTTAATGACTGAACACCAGTCAACGTTTCTTCAGAAACTGGTCCGTTTCACCGCCGCCAAGCATATGCTGCTGCTACTGGTCGTAGTTACGAAGAACTCTCTGGTCCTTGACCATGTGCCGGCAACATTTGGGTGCGTTCAATCTTGGAGTGAATGTGCAGAACCAGACACCAATCAGATGTACATCATCCACAACTATTTACCCCATGTACACCAATTCACGTCATGATGTACATGCAACACGTAGCATATTCAGATTTTGTTTCAAGTCTTTGCCGCTGTTCGCTTTTCGACACATCTGGTCCGCAGTTCCGGCTACGCATGGCCTGGCGACACTCGTTCGGGCGATTCGGGCTTGCCACGTTGGGCCAGCCTTGTTTTTGCCTTTCGTGGCCACCAATGCAAAAACGTTCACATATCCCGAGAGAGGGAGAGAGGGAGAGGGGAGTGAGTGCATAAAGGAGAGGGTGAGCGACAACATGTGATTGGAGTAGAATAGAAGAGACGCGGTCACCACCAGGCACCACAATACACGCACACACACACACATTAATATACACACATATATAAATTTTAAATATATGTATATATATATAGAGAGAGATTTTTCTTTTGTTTTATCAAGCATCATCTCTCCATTTTGGAACGCCACGATTTGAGACAGTGGAAAGGACCACGCTCTTGGATGAAGCTTGGAGGAACCGCAGCCAGCTCAAAAGGATCTGATTCTGATACACCCTCCATCCATTAACCTGCTCATTTGGGGTGCCTACCACATGGGCGTTTCTTTCAGGTTTGTGACCGAAGCCCTGAGAATGTTTGGCCATTCGACCAGCTTAGTGACCATTGTTTGACCAATGGCGAAGCGTGCTCGCTGCAGCGTGCAGACCGGTGCCAGATGTGGCGTGGCCTTGGAGACAGCCTTTTCACCTGCTTTTGGAGTGGGATCGGGGGACCAGTGGTAGGCTCTTGTAAGCATTATATATATACATATCCTCAAAGGGGCAAGGAAGGTGGGAAGTGTTGGCACAAGTGCTCCACTATCATTTACGATCTATCTATGTAAATGATGCAATTCAATGTGACACAACAGGTTTACGTTTGTTTTCGGCAGCATTGTGGGCGGTCACTGCCAGTGGACTGGATTTGCATGCCGACGCTTGATGAGGTTTGCCTCACTCTTTCGAACGCAGCCGAGCCATCCGAAGGGTCCGGGGAGGTCCCAGCCTGACGCTTGGCCCAAAGAGTTTTGGATAGCCTTGGCCCAATGGTGGTGTGGTTTGGACCGCTGGTCTGGTCTTGACGGTCTTGACCACGTTGGCACAAGACATGAAGGGTGCGGTCACGATCATCCAATTTCAGTCTGGAGCCTGGGTTATGATATGTTATGAGGGTTATGTTCTCAACAGAGAAGGGCTATTCAAGCAGGGCGCTTCAATCAGCTCAGGAGCCAGAACGGAACAAGAAAGGCAAGCCAGGGAAGGCGCAGTCCTTTTCGGTTGGCTTCACCACCAGGAGAGCACCATAAAGCACTGTTAGAGAGGCGTAGTAGGGTGTGTCCCATGACCAGAAACCGTCGGCAAAAGATTATCACTCTTTTTGAGAGGCCTTTACTAGCCATGGCATCCACCGTGCTGGTAATGAGACGTGCCCAAGATAGATGGGTGAAGTTCCAGTGTGTGATTCGAACATCGCTTGACAGAAAACTCTGAAATTCGTTCGTCTTCCCTTGCCCAGGCAGCCCACATAGGCCAGGTGAGGATCGATTCAGGGTTGGCCAGCAGGGTTGAGGGAGGTTGATGAGCACGTCATGAGGTGCCGGGCCTTCCATATGCTCGATTAGTTGGGCCATGCGGGGCCTTTACCAAACCATGAAAGCACTTGATAAAGGTTCTGGAGCTGTCCATGCAGGATGAGTTGTCCACTTTCACTGTGGGAGTGACTCGCACGACTGTGACTCGCCTCTGTGAGGCTGAGCATTTGGAAGGAATCAAGCTTGTTAGATCACAAATTGGGGGCGATCTAACAACCTGTGACCAACAACCTGTGACAAGTTTGTGATCTAACAGAACAAGCTTTGTGACTTGAATGGTTTATATAACAGTTTTTTTAAATAAAACTATACCAACAACCTGTGACAAGTCCGGGCGCCTTTGCCAGATCAGACTGGTGTGGAGGGTCTCTCAAAGACTCAGCGGCGAAAGCAGAAACAGAAACAAGAGAAGGAGAAGCAGAAGAAGCAGGCGGCTGTAGGCCCGAGACATTGCTTGGTGGGGTGGAGTTCTCGAACATTTCGCCAGCTAATCAAACACTACTAGTATGGGAAGAATAGGGAAGTTGACCCTGATTATGTTGCATTTTCAAGCAAGTCCGGATGGTGATGGATTGAAGGCATAGGGGTGCCCAATCAAATTTATGGCCATCACACAAAGATTTGACAGTTTAGAGCTTAGGGGATGTTAAGGGTGTACAAGCACGAGCCATGAACGACAACTTTTAGGAGAAGGCATGTTTTATTTGGCTTGGGAGTAGCAGCTAATTACGTGCGTTTGCAAAGCAATTGGGTCAACTCTGCCTCAGCTTGTAATGGACTATGTCTTTGGGCGCCTTTGCCAGATCAGACCGGTGTGGAGGGTCTCTCAAAGACTCAGCGGCGAAAGCAGAAGCGGAAACAAGAGAAGGAGAAGCAGAAGGAGAAGCAGAAGAAGCAGGCGGCTGTAGGCCCGAGACATTGCTCGGTGGGTGGAGTTCTCGAACATTTCGCCAGCTAATCGAACACTATGGGAAGAATAGGGAAGTTGACCCTGATTATGTTGCATTTTCGTGTGTTTTTGCTACCAGCCGAGGGGTACAGTAGGATGGATGAAGGAAGTGAGGACGGTGATGGATAGAAGTCATGCAGGGGTCCAACATACTTCGAGCCGACTTGGCCCTGAGTTGGCGAGGTCAGAGTGGCTCGAAGAAGAGGCAAAAGGTACCAGGAGCGCACCACAAATGTGGATCAACACATGGTCCCTTCCATGTACACCCCCAAGTCGTGGGATTCAGCTGACATGCAGATGTGTTGGGTGCGAAGCAGAGCATCACGTGGAGGAGTTGAAGTGCCCGAAGCAGAGCCAAGTGCCCGAAGCCCAGGCGCTGCTCCACTCGGGCAAAGCTCTGCCCACTGCGGTCAACTCGATCTCGGTCGATCTCCGGACCGGGGTCGACTCGTAGGGACCCAGCAACCGCTGGTCTCCGGGTGGTGGGTCGCGGTGGTGCTGGGCCTGGGTTGCTTGGGTCGCATGTTTGTGACGTCTCCAGCTGTCTCTGGTTGTCTCCAGCTGTGTTGGGTTGCTTGGGTCGCCTGGTATGTGGTATCTTTGGCTGACGACTATATTTAATTTGTCTTTGGCCGTCTTCGTTGGCATAGGACATCCGAAATTCAGGCGAAGTTGGTGCGATCGACGCCTCCAATAGACGCATTCGTTCAGCACACGAGCCAACCTTGGTGATGCACGCCGAAAAGAGTCGATATTCTTCCGTGTTTTTCTTGGCTTGCGCTAGGGCTAGGGTAGTCTTTACATTTTTGTCGACTGAAAGCTTTGAATCTGGAGGCGTTCTGGGCAAAGCCGCCAAGAGGCTGAAGGGATCCAGGCGATTTCAATGGGGCATGACAAGCGGAAGGAGGGAGGGAGGGAGGGAGGGGCCTTCTGAAGAAAAGAATCATTTGTCGGCTGTCCTCGTGTTTCAGCCAAAAGCCTTCACGCATGCCACGGAACAGTCTTGAAGAAGAGTCAGACTTGGTCCTGCAAATCGGCCCTTCTTTTTGCTCGTCGGTTTATGTGATACTTTTCCACCTAGGGCTATGTGTAGTGTTTGGGGTACAGTTGCTTTGCATTTGAGTTTCTCTTGGGGCCCGTTTTAGGCGGGTTCCGAATTCCGCGCCGCTACCGCAACTGGAGGCTCCACCACTGGAGGCCCCGAAACCTGTGGCTAGTCGGCCCCAAAGATCAACATCCTCAGTGCCTCATCAACCCAAACTCACCTTGGAGGGGTTTCCCTGATCCCTGCTTTCATGCAGAGCTTGCATAGCCTCGCAGTGCTTTTGGTCGACCAAGACGCAGACCCCAAAACCACGGCCGATTTCGCTCGAAGCTGCCGGACCAGCGGTCCGATTTCGCTCAGGTTTCGCTGGCTGAATGAGACCTTGTACACCATGACGGGGCAAGAGGCCTTCAAGCTCTTCTCGGAGGATCCTTCCCTGGCGGATGCCTACCACGAGGGCTTCCGCGCGCAAGCGGCGAAGTGGCCGAAGAACCCCCTGGATGAGGTCATCCGTGCCTCCCTGAGGGTGGAATGTGTAAACAGGTGCTTTGTTTTTCTACGCTTCTCAACTTCCTTATTTTGTATTGTGGGTTGGGGTGAGGTTGGCTGAAGAAGGAGGCTGGAAGCCATTTTTTGGGGCCCTCCTTTGTCCAACAGAAGTTTGGAGTTGCAGGTGGCAAAGGATGCCGTGATCGGTGACTTTGGTTGTGGTGATGCCCGTTTGGCACTGGAGCTTGAGAACCGAACCGCCCCGCATCCCGGAGCTTGAGACGAGAGGGTCACGAGAGGGTCACGTGAGGGGGATCATCCGAGTCGAAGTGCGTCATCATCGGGCGGAGGTTCATTCCTTCGACTTGGTGCCGATTAACAGCAGGCTCGGTGTGCTTTATTGGTCCAAGAATGTTCAAGATGTTCATGCCAGCAGATGTGAACTTGTGTTCGCAGCGTGGAGCAGAGAACTGGACTATATAGTATAGTATCATATAGTATCTAGAACAGTCGAATTTCCCAGACGAGGTGACGAGGATGGTATGGAGTTCGCATTTCGTTGGGGGAACAAGCGCATCTTCTTGGTGGTTTCCTGTCCACTTCATCACTTAGTGCAGATCAACCCCGCTTGCAGCGCTTCCGGGGCACACCCACAGAAACACCGGTCCCGCACGCGGCAGGGTCACTGCCTGCAACTTGGCGAAGGTGCCCTTGCCCAAGGCGGACGGCCGCGTTTAGCTACTCGACGCTGACACTCATAACATACCCAAGAGCTGTGGGGATCATTTTTGACTTGAAGGGGCGTATAAGGGGTGTTTCGGGCTCATCATTTGTTGATATTTGTTGTGGTTGTTTTGGGGTTTACTTCTCCAACTCGCTGTGATGATTGTCGAAGGCTTCGCTGGATGTGGCGATTTTTTGCCTGGCGCTAATGGGCACGGATTGGATCAAGTTTGTGACAGAGGCGCGAATTCCGCAACCACCCCGGGTCAGCCAATGAGGAATCTGAAAGGGTCAGCCAATGGGTTTGGTTTTGTGAGGCCGAATGGCAAGGGTCTGGGGCTTCTTCATTGGAAGGTCCATGCTGGCAATGATTTTCTACCCCAAAAGGCTCATCACATTTGTTGCACACTTCTGACATGGTCATTTGGGTGTTTTTGGATGGGGAATGCAGATTGGAATGAGTTCCTTTCTGATTTCAACATTGTTGCGGGGGAGTTGGGGCGGGGTGGTAGTTGGTGTGGAGGGTCTGAGTCCAGGCACGGCGCTGCTTGAAGCTTGGGGGTCTGGAGCCCGAACTTGGACGTGGGACACGTCACGGCCGAAGGCCGAATCTGGATCCAAATTGATCCAATGGCCAGTTTGCTCATGGTTTTCATGAGGTTCCACACGCCCCCCATCATGTCCTACGCAGGACTCGCCCGCGAGAATGTCCTACGTACCCTCAGATGTTCAACTGTTCAAACACACCCATTGCGGGGCGCTTCAGAGGGTAGGAAGCGAGACAGTTAAGAAAGTTAAGGGGGAAAGTCCGGGGAAAGCAGTGAAAGCAGCACTTGAAACTTAATGGGATATCGTATTGTCTTGTAGGAAGCTTAGGTCTTAGGTTGGAGGCCATCGCTAATTTTACTAGGGTGGAGGGCATCTCTACTAGGGTGGAGGCCGCCATCGCTACTAGGGTCGATGACATCAAACTGAGATGGAGTAGCCCGCTGTGGAGAAGCCCGAGGTTTGTGCCACATTGTGGAGGTGGAGTCACGCTTCGCAGAGATAGACGCGGTGGTGAGGAGTGTAGACACTGAAGTCATCTACAACCATTGCTGCAGAGTTTCTCTCATCAAGGTGGGGTACATGGGTGGCAGTCCAGAAGATTCATCAACCCACAACATAAGGTGTGCTACCTCCTGAAACTGCAGCCAACTCTTTTGCCTTTTGAGGACCATCGAATCTCTCGGCTTTCAGCAAGTCCTGGTGAAGCCAGGCAGTTTCTCGACTTGGCATCCTTTAGAGTCTGTAGTACAATGACCAGATCTTCATGGACTGCCTACACATCCGCCATACAAAGTGGGATGGCCCGCTGTTTGTAGCCACATCCTTGTGGTCTTTCTGCGGAACCTGGAGCTGACTGTGCTCCGCGCAGCACTTGCCGAGGCTTCTTTGTGGAAATGCGCTTCCGTGCGACCAAGGCCAGACCCGCAGCTGCTCACCGCTCACTGGTCGGTCATGGTCGGGGACCCGTCGGTCATGGTTTTCTTGCTCGGGGTTGCATGGGTTGTCCGCCCAAATAAGCAGTAATAAGCTCACCCAAGACTTTGAGATTCAGCACTTCTTATGGATCATGTTTGTGAGACTGCCGGACTACTGCTAGTGATGGTCACTTGGAATGGAAAGGGAACATTGTAGGGACTCAGTTAGCAGTTAGCATACAGCCTTGCACTTCATTTCAGGTTCATTTCATGCAGTTTTGTGTAACGCAGGAACGCCAGGGCCACAAATCGCACGGCACGGCACCTACTGTAGCAGATTTCGTGTAGGAATCAGTTTTCCCATGGATTAAACGATGCATGGCACAGGCACACAAAGTTAAGGGGCCAATGGTTTAGTGGTTTATTGTGCGCTGCCATGCAGAATGGTGGAAGTGGGTTTTGAGCCATCTATTCATTGATCTGGTGCAGAATGCAAAAAGGTGGAACCCCCGGCAGGATGAATTAGCTGGTGGTTCTTTTGGTAGCCCTTTCCAGATGGACATTAGAAGGATTTTGAAAGATACCTCTCGGCTAAGGAGAAGGCGAGTTGCTTCAAGCTTGTACATATCGGAAGCGCTAGGAGGCTGCAAAAAGGTGATTGTGAAGGTTGTCGTGATGCATCTCAGGCAAGAGTCGAAAAGTATTGCACCACTAACAGTGGTGGGGTCAGGCCCAAGATGCTCCAGGCTATAAATCAAGTCACCATTTACCTGGAAACCTGGTCTTTGGCTTGCTCATGGTCTTATTGAATATGGTGACATGTTGATTGAGCCGCAGCAGGCCGTTTCCTTTGCTTTAGCAGGCTCTGCACAACTTTGGGTTCAAAGAAGTCGGCCAAGAGTAGCTAGTCGGTGCTTTCTGTCATACTTTCCTTATGCCAGCATCGAGGTCACCTGTGTGATGCACCAGGTCACTGAGGTGTCCAAACGAACAAGGGGAAACATGTCAAGCATGACAAGGCAGACATTCAAGGTGACCAAATTAACATTCATGATGATACCACTTGGCATGGCCAGAAAGCCAACGGGCCCACACAAAAAAAGCAAATGGCGCCTCTACTATCTAGAGGGAACCAGCGCTCGATCTGGGGTCCTGATTGCTCCACTGTCGTGTGGCTGCGCTCACTTCTTCCAAATGGCCCACCCATCCAAGCCATGAGCGGACCCATGAGCGGTGAGACCACGTCGGGAACCAAGAAGTACAACAACTTTTGGAGCCCTTAGGTTTCCAAAAGGAAAGGACGAAGACTACTTCGCGATGAGCTGTGCTCTTAATCCAGATTCTGCTAGTGACTCGGGGATCCGCGGGCCAGGAAAAAGACATGTTTCACACACCAAGCCGGCAGGAATCCGTCACTACCATCATCGAGGATCTGCATAGTCGGCGGCACATGACCACTGTGGTCAACGGTGTCCCATCCACATGGTGCGAGCCATCGCGTCCGCGTGCCCACTGGCAGTGGCAGTGATGCTTAAATGAGTCGCCAAAGTCATTTGATGTGGTGTCGCGCTGAGGGTAAGAGAACTGGTCAGAGGGTGCTTTGCGATGATCAGGCAGGGCCAACTAGGTTTTCCGTGCGAACACCATGTCTTCAGTAAAGTGCAATGGGACTGCGTTGGAATTAGTTCAAGGTAGTTACAGTCCCTACTCCACATAGCGGAAAACGTGTAGGCGTCGTTTGTGCAAGACGTGTGGCAAGACGTGCCCCCCCCGCCGCGGAGCGAGCGCCGCATCGGAGGTTGCCGTGGACGCTGGAGTGTTTTCATCTTCAGGGCCGCAGTATGATGCCGCCCCCCCGGCCTGTCGGAGAGAAAGCATCAACAAAAGAGAGTCAAATGAGAGAGCACGGCGGGAAGTCTGGCTGGCATTCTTTGAGACTTCATATCATTTCTCCTTGTTGTGGCAAGGTTGCCCGTAGTTATAGCCATAGGACAAAAATTGGAGCTCATTACGCGCCCCACACGTCATGGCTTTGTCCAGACAGGCTCTAGACGACTCTAGACTCTGGACCCAGACGATATCCTTTTGGCGGATGTTGCAGGTTCCCAACACTTCCAGGGCCCACAGGTCCAAAAAGTGTCTCGTGTTTTTTTCGGTGATGCTTTTTCTGCATGTCAAGCATGCCCACCGGAAGAGCATTGCACCAACTAGCAGTTTCCATGCTGCACGGGAGGGTGAAACCAAGAGAAGTGACTGCGGAGCAGTGCGTAGCGGAGACATGTGATGAATGACAGGACTCTGAGAGGAGGTCCTGGTCTATGCGCCCTTTGGCATCGGAAAAATAATCTGTTTCTGCGTTTCGGAGGTGTTTGGGTGGGTCTATCTTAAAATGGGCGAACACCTACCCTGCTTGGACTCCGGATGCAAGGAAGAACAGGCAACCAAGTGGTTGGTTGAGAGGTCTCCCTATTTTCATGACTCTAATGCCCACAACGCTCATAGTGTTGGAGTGGCCAGTTCCTCTCAGGACAGCGATCTGGTGGTTGGCTTACGCCCCGGGCGCACTGCCTGGTGCTGAGCTCCCTAACTGCTGCATTTGGCTGTCACTCTGTGCCGAGTTGAGGTTCATTTGGTCCCAAGGGCTGGGGATGTCGTCCTTTTGGTTGATGAAAATGGGCGAATGGCCTGTCCCTCAGATATGATATGATGGATTGGGAAACTCGATGCTAGCTGCAACTAGCTGTTAGCCGAAAAGCCAAGAGGACTACACAGACTACCCCACTTCGCTTTCCTCACACGACAGTGAGGTGTCCGGAGGCAGTCAGAGGTTCTAAGTTGGAGGGTAGGGGTGTCCACTATCCACTTACTCTTCCAGGGTCTAATCACCTCCAAAGACAACAATCGAGCAGTTTTTGTATGTGTGTGTGTATGTGTGTGTGTGTAACCCTTGGAATCATAGGGATCCTTTCGGATTTTTTAGCAGGGGGTGCCAGGGACCATGCAAGTCTGGCACTAACAAAGACGCTTGCATTGGTCTGTGAAATCGATTTGGGACGCCAAATCGACGTACCTGCAATTTTCAATTTTTCGAATGGCGAGAGGCTAAGCCAAGAACCTCACAACACGGTATTGCGTAGGGATTTGGTTCACTTTCTGCAGATGTGCACGAGCCGCCGTCACCCTGTTCGATTCGTCGCCGTCTTCGACCTTGAGCTTTTGGCCTCACTTCTTCTTACAGACCTCCAGGTTCTTTAGGACTTTCCTGGACCTTTCAGGATTTGGGTCTCTTAGGCTGGCGTGTGGCACCGCTTTCAGTTCAGTACACCCTATCCTAAGTGTGTTTGGCCTCGTGCCAACCCGGGATGAGCCCGCAGAGTGCCTCCCGTGGACCCGTCGAATGGGTGTACGTCGTTATCTCCCCTGCCCGGAGATGTAAGTGCCCACAGCGGGCGAAGGTGGCCTAGGCCGTACGTCCGATGATTTTTTCCCATCTTTGGAATTCCAAGCTGGCTTATGCCTTTACGTGACCGTAGCGGTCAAAGGTGGCAGCCCCGGGGCAAGCCGTACGTGGTCGCAGCGACCGAAGTCTGTTCAAGGTTCATTGGAACCTGTCAAGCACTTAGTTCCCCCTCCTCCCCCTTCCCTCCTCCTTTCTTTCTTTGCTTTCTGGGGTTTTCCTGAATGGAATACTCAGGATCACCCCTCTCTTTCTTGGGTGTGTCCCTGGACGATTGTTCGTAGCTGGGAACACCTTCCTTTCCTCTCTTTCTCTCCCTCTCTCTTTCTTTCCTTCTCTCTTTCCTCTCTTCACCCTCCTCCCTGGGTGTCCCTGGATGCTTCGTCATAGCTGGGAGCCCTTCTTTTTGGTGCTGGGAGCACCTTTGTCTCTTTCTTTCTTTCCCTCTCTTTTCTTCCTCCCCCTGCCCCCTCTTTCCTCGCGCGCGGCGTGTTTACAAGCAAACTAGGCTTCTGCAACAGGTTTTTCTAATGAGGTTTGGTTTGTCATCGGTTTGTCCCCGTTCATTTGGTTCCCCTTTCATCGGCCCCCACAGACGGTTTTTTCCTCTTTTCTTTCATGTCTTTCTGTCTTCATGTCTCTTCATCCTCATCCTTTCTTTCTCTTGCGCGCACTATCGTCCGGACCTTAGTTTGTACACATACACGCACGCGTACTTTACTTACAGCAAGGTTCAGGTGGCCCAGGTTCGTTACAATGAGGTTTGGCTCATCGGTTGTCCCTCTTCACTAGGTTCCTTTTCATCGGCAACCACACACACCTTTGTCTGTCTTGTCCTTTTCATTTTCATCTGTCCCTTTAGCGTGCACATGTGCCTACCTCCTTTCCGGGCAGGATGGAGGTCACACATGCCTCCCTTCGGGGAGGCGTGTGTGTATGTAACCCTTGGAATCATAGGGATCCTTTCGGATTTTTAGCAGGGGGTGCCAGGGACCATGCAAGTCTGGCACTAACAAAGACGCTTGCATTGGTCTGAGAAATCGATTTGGGACGCCAAATCGACGTACCTGCAATTTTCCATTTTTCGAATGGCGAGAGGCTAAGCCAAGAACCTCACAACACGGTATTGCGTAGGGATTTGGTTCACTTTCTGCAGATGTGCACGAGCCGCCGTCACCCTGTTCGATTCGTCGCCGTCTTCGACCTTGAGCTTTTGGCCTCACTTCTTCTTACAGACCTCCAGGTTCTTTAGGACTTTCCTGGACCTTTCAGGATTTGGGTCTCTTAGGCTGGCGTGTGGCACCGCTTTCAGTTCAGTACACCCTATCCTAAGTGTGTGTGTGTGCGTCACTACCTATATTATATATTTGTACCAGCAGGGGGCCACCGGGGTCCCAGAGGAGCGGTGGCCAACGAAGACCTCCTCTGGGACCTGTGCAAACGTACCTGCAGAACTAGTTACCTGTTGTTCTCGCTGTGGTTTGCTTTCATGGTGGTTCATGTATGGAAGCATGGTAAAGGGCTACTGCGTTTGTTAAACGGTTCTTCCCTCCGACCCAGCATTCATTCCGCTCTGCAAGTCAAGGGCTAGGTATTCAGTAACTAAAGTGCTAGGTAGTCAGTAACTAATTTCTGGAACTTCGTCAACTGATTCTAGCCCTTGCGAGCAACCATCTAAGTGTGTGGCGCCACAGAGTCCCACTGAGGGCTGTGGTGTGATCCCCGCCATCGTGGGGCGCAGCATGTGCATAGACCCAGATCCTGGGGGCCTGGTGGGCCTACCCTGATTGCTCCGTCTCTGCTCTGGGACTTCACTGTGCAACCTCCTTGATCGACTGCATTGCATGATGCCACTGATCAAATGCCGCAGGGCTTACTGAGATCAAACTCCAGTTTGGATTTCCGCATGCTGCTAAGTATTCACATGTCCACGTCATGCTGCTAAGTATTCACAGGCTAGGTTCATGGATAGGTCGCTCCGGCTAAGTAATCGAGGCGGGCTGCATGTATAGATCACTAGTGCCACTCACACCGTTTGACGTGACTCTCACCGGGACGCCATGAGCTCAGCCTCCCTCACATCCCGCCCAGTCGATATCACCACAGGAAGCCCCTCCACCCCACCCCGCACGTCCATCCCCTCCTCAAGAGCCCTCTCAAGAGCCTCTCAAGCAGCACAAACTCGTGCCCCACCAGATCCACCCCCAGAATCCCCGTCAACGGAGTTCACCGCAGCTCCGTCTACGAGCCTCCCAACTCCTGCTTCGACGGCTTCTTCGACTTTGACTCCGTCGCCTTCGTCTCGGCAGGCGGTTGCGGCGGACACTTTGTCTAGTGATGCTGAGCCCCACCTCAGTCTGACCTCTGGCGGTCGTTGGCAACACTGGGCAAAGGTAGTCGACCGAGCCCCTGACCCGACCATTTCGAGAATTTCGATTTCCTCAAAGTCGAGCAAGCAAGTATGTAGGAAACCATCCTTGATGGACGACCTGGATGGAAATGACCCCGTGCTTCAAGCCACGGCCAAAGAGCTTCAACCTCTCGCTGAAGGAGAAGACCCTCAACAGCTTGCTAAAGACATGGGTTGGCAGACCGAAGGCAAAGAAAAGACAGCTTCACATACTCCTGTCCAACTTCAGAGCGCCGACCACGGCAATCTGTGTGTGTCACTGCCTGTCTCTAAGGTTCTTCACTGTTCCATTTAATATTTGCACCAGCAGGGGGGCCACCGGGGTCCCAGAGGAGCGGTGGCCAACGAAGACCTCCTTTGGGACCTGTGCAAACGTACCTGCAGAACTAGTTGCCTGTTGTTCTCGCAGTGGTTTGCTTTCATGGTGGTTCATGTATGGAAGCATGGTAAAGGGCCACTGCGTTTGTTAAACAGTTCTTCCCTCCGACCCAGCATTCATTCCGCTCTGCAAGTCAAGGGCTAGGTATTCAGTGGCTAAAGTGCTAGGTAGTCAATAACTAATTTCTGGAACTTCGTCAACTGATTCTAGCCCTTTCGAGCAACCATCCAAGTGTGGGAGATGCTCGGCAGATGCAGTTGGGATTGCTCCATCAACTCCCCTCTTTTAGATGGCTTCCCTTCCACAAACGACGAGCCGCCTCGTTGGACCACGTCCATTTGGTCGGGAACAAGACGTGAGGTGAAGCGCTTGAAGGACATTGTCTTTGAGGTGAGACGGGTTGAGGGAAAGTGAGGGGTTTGATTCTTAGATCAGATTCGGTTGGTTGGTTTTTATAGATTGTGTTGAATTCGATTGTAAAGTCATTCTTCTTTCACAGTGTGTGGCTTGGCAATACTTTATCAAGGGCCGCCTACCAATGAGATAAGCCAGTCCCCCGGATTCATTGTCAACTGTGTTTGTTGACTAGGTGAGAATTTTGTTGGCAAGGTTTTGATTCTCTTTGTGTTTGTTTTAACGGGTCATTGTTTATATTCACCTACGTGTTCAACTACATATTCAAAACCTTGCTGCTGTCTTTGTCAGTTTTCCTGAAGGAGAAGGCTGCCCACATATTAGCGTCCATAATTGCCAGTCATTTCGCCAGAGTCCTGATAGGGGAATGTTGGGTCTTTTTGAGGCCGAAGGGGGTTCCACTTAGCTACTAGTAACAAAGGGCATTGCTACGAACGGAGCCAGACACCACCAGCAACGAGGGTTCCACGAACGTGTCTCCGTCGGCTCGTTCCTTCGAGGCGCCCAACGACTACGCCACCGGAAACGAAGCTTCGCCACTCCACCGCCGCGGCCGACCACTGCGGGGTTGGCGGGAGCCTTTGTCCAGCATTGTGCAGAGCCTTTGTCCAAAAAGGGTTGGCAGCAGTGTCAAGACATGAAGGCTCTAAGAAGCACGAGACAGCGACCTCCTGGTAAACGTGGTGGAACGTTTTCAAGAGAATATATAGATGGCATGAATCCACCGGTGAACATGTGGAACATCAACAAGATGTTGCGCACCTACTCCGAAACCACTCCACAGTAGACTGCAGATGTAGCCGCAGCGGTTTGGTTTTCGACCTGTCGATTGTCCAAATCACTCACGAATCAATGAAGGTCACCACTGACCTCCGATCAAACAGACTACAGTACCTACCAGACACAAACACACATCCACTCACAATGAACAATCAGATCACTCAGAATCGCATCACTACAGATCAAAACTGTTCGCACATGGAAATATCCAAGCAAGGATTGTAAGTAACGCGCATATACACACACATATCTTATCTTATCTTATATTATGTTGTTTTGCATTATACTATGTATAATGTAATCGCCCCCCTGGGACCACCATTGCAAGCTTTCACCCACCATTGCAAGTTTTCACTTATATAAGTCGTCTCATTACATGTGGAGGGGTACCGTATATGTATATACATATCATAAGATACAGTTTGTTGGTTTTTGTCCACAACACCCGTGAACAAGTAGGCGGCAACATAAGGGGAGGATCATGGACCTCAAACACAATTTGAAACATATTGTAATTTTGTACTTTGGAAGGCTTGGATGGATTTGTACGCGTATTGTATGCGTACAATCCTGGAACAAAGATCTAAGATTCTGGGGGACACTCGACTCAAAATCAACTGTTAGATCCAAGGTTGAAGCCTCAATGCACCAATATTGCATATTAATTGCACGAGCTTCACCTTGCACCTAAGATTTGCTTTCCAGAGTCCCCCTTGTACTTTAAATCTTGGATTCAGGATTGTACGTGTACAAACTAACAAGTTTATCCAAGCATTCCAAAGTGAAACATCACCCAAATCACACATCAGCACAGATCTCGCACAATGACCAGGGACGACTGTTGTCAGAGTGCATCACTTGCCATTGTTACTCGCTTTCGCATGAAGCAGCTCAGGTGTTGGGTCGAGGGTGACAATGCTTTGCTCTCTGAGGAGCTCTTTCCGGCGATGTCGCATGGGTGAACGTTCCGGACGCCCCGAGCATCCCTCATGGCCACGCAGGTCGGACCATACGCAGGTCGGCTTTCGACCTGGTAGTGAAGGTGATTGAGCGACTGGTAGGGAAGGCTACGCACATTCCGAATCGCGATGATCACATGTGGTCTCATGGACGCCCTTTTTTCCCCTGACGAAGCTGCCAAACAGGACTCTCGGATGTTTGGCTGGCTGCCTTCGCACCGACTGGAGGCACCGGATGTGCCTTTCGGTGGCGGAGCCGATCCCCAGTCGACCCACGAAGCCTGTGTTGACGTGAGCCGAGTCGAGCGGGTCCACGAATCCAAGAGCCACGGAATCTTCAGGCACCTCAAACCAGGGAAGGTGTGCACCAAGGGCACACCAGATGGCCGAAAATTCGTGAGATAGGATGGGGCAGGTAGACTTGTGGTATATAGGATATATCCTCTACAAAATCATACAAAATCCCCGTCAAGCCCCCCCCCCGCATATCACATATATCTTATTTCGGTCGACTCCACCGTTGGGTCAGTCGAGGCCGTGGCGATTGCCGTGGTGTGGCCTGTGTGGCGCAGCACCTGGTTGTGAGCTGCTGCCCGTTTGTGTCGAACAGAACGGGGTGACCAGAACCCTGGTTGACAACTGTTGACATGTGACGTGATTTGGTGGTGAGTGGTTCTGTGGTACTGTGTTGATGGTTTATTGGACCAAGTTGGTTCGTGGTTTCTTCTTTGACGCAGTGATGCATGTTAGTTATTATTCTTTCATTCTTGCTCACAGTCTGCATGGTTTTGGGGTGTGGGCTCGTGGCAGTCAAGCTGGTGGCCAGGATTGAGCCGCGGAGGGTCCGAGATGCTTTGGCTCCAAACGACTGCTGCTGCTTTTCATGGCGGAGAAAGATGCCGACAGAAACTCTGTGGACATGGTGGTTGACCTTTGACGACCCCGGACGCTGTTTGTCCGTTTCGCACATCGTGGCGCTTCCCGTTCCGCTCACTTCGCGCCCTCGTTCGCCTCCCGGCCTCGTTCGGCTCCAGTCGCGGCCGGGGCGATGGCCGACCGCCCAAAGGGCCGGCTGCCAGGGGTCCCAAGTGGCTTCGTGGGATTTCAGTCGAAGTGGGTGATCAGAGGGTGCTCAAACTCGGAGACTCTGAGACTGGGACTTGGTGAAGCAGGCACCACACATCATGAAGCACCACACGTGAGGCGGAGGCACCTGGATCACGACGAAGAAACTCATGTACATGGTTGTCAGCAGACTCAACATGTCGATCCGATCACGAGGATCCTGAAGGTGTCGGTCGACCTGGGTCTTGCCAGAGCCCCAGAGTGCGAGCAGATGCCATGAGTCCTACAACATGGGTTTGATCTAATTATATACTGTATATACTTCATTTTTTGTGACTCTTGACCAGTTCGAATAAATGTAAGGAGAATCAGAAGTGACCATGGGGCAACACACTGAGAACCTTTGTGTTTACATGAGGAAAGTCATTTCGTTGGATGAGCACCCCACTTTTCTCCGACCTGGTGGTTGTTCGAATGCCAGCCCAGCTCCACGGGCCAAACAGGCGAAGCTGATCCGGTAAGACCCTGAACTTGGCCCTAAACATTAAAACAACAGCATTTTCCTAGCAGTCCTAGCACGGATGGCCTTCTACCGTTTGCGCAGACGTGCTTCTTCAGAGCTGAGCAGGGGACATGCAATGTACTGTAGTTCTTCAGTTCTCCGCCGGTCTCTACTCTCTAAGAAGCCTGAAGCCACAGGAGCCGGATGGTGCCGCTCCATCAAGTGCCTTGGACGGATCGCCTGTGAAAGGCACCGCTTTTCAGTGCAAGACCGGCTTATTTATTTTACCATTTTTTCCTCCACTGCTCTTCTCCTATCCCAAGGCACATGTTCTGATCCACCTTGTTGAAGAAAGTTGTGAAGACTCCATGGCTCAGCCATGTAAATAATAAATCAAGCACGAGCGCAACGATGCCACACACACATCCAAACCCGAGCCTTTCTGATTTTGATCTCGTCGGACATTGCATTGGCATTTGGGTCTGCCTCCTGTTTGGAGATTTTGGGCCATTCATGGAACCAATATGGTAGAGTCTCACATGTCCAAAACGACATGCTTCACCTTAGCTTGGTCCCAACAGTGGCCGGAGAAACAAAAACAGCTCTTGGACTCGGACAGCAGACAGCGGATGTCTGCTTTTTCCATTGGATGCATTGAAAACACAGCTCTCCGTGGCGATGACGCTGTTTACCATTGGCGATGACGGCCGTGTCTTCGGGGCGTTCGGCGGGTGACCAGGTGAAACTCCGGTGATCCTGGTGCACGAAAACGATGACGTGCCCTGGTGATCCGGGTGGGGTGAGGTTGGAGCGGAGGAACCGAGGAAGCCATTCCCAAACACTCCATGTAATGTAGACTCTTGATTAATAACCCCAGCCATTTGAATTGAACATCCTCTACCAGCTTCTTCAAAATGACCTTTTTGGAGTCCCTAAGTGACCTTTTCCAGGCCTAAGTGACCTCAAACCAGGGGATCAAAAGGTCACTTTGAAGAACCAGGTTCATATGGGGGGTGTATTAATTGAGTGTCTACATGATTTAGCTACATTCACCCCTGAAACCATCCAGTCCCATGGAGTGTGTTGCTATGCCAGTCCGGAGTGTCTGGGATTGACCGATTCCTCCAACCCGTGGTTTATCTCGACCCTTTGCGTGACCCTTATCTCGACCCGGGCGTCAAGGTCTCTTTGCCAACTGCTAAGGAGTTACTGTAGCCGACGGAAAGGCCAAAAACAGGTCATCAACAAAATCAAAGCAACAAAAACACGAGATAGAAGAAAACCGAAAACCACACTAGTGATACTTATGAAACAAAGGGTGTTGGGTCGGGTCAATAGTCGTTTTAGTTCTCGAGGTTTTGGCCGCTCAGGCTCAAAGCTGTCAAACATCCTTTTTAGAATCCTTTTCAAATGAATGGGAACTTTTTTTGTCCAATTAACATCTCAAAATCTGTCAAACCTGAGTCAAACCTTTGCCTTGTTGCAAACAACCCTTAGCACAATTTGCTGTCAGATTGGCTTGCAATTAAAGCATTTTGAAAGCATTGTTAAGATCAATGAGCGCATTGATTTGTGTAGTAGCCTCCTTCCAAATCCTTTTTAAAAAGCAATGTATTATTTAGTTCCCTTTTTGGATCAACATCAATTAAACTAGGGACTTTCAACTGGTTTCCAATAACAACATCCTTTTCAATTCCCATACTGTATAACATACATTAGAGACATTGACGTGAAACTTGTACTTAAAACCAGTTGAATGATTTCGTTTCCTGTGTCTGATCAACATTCCTCAAGTTTATTGTTCAGATTGTATAATTAGAACATTTGTGCCGGCACTATCTATTCGTACGTTGTTTCCAATTGAATCACTCTAAAGCCCTTTCCAAAACCATGTAGTTCAATGATGCTTAATTTGTTTCCTATGCTAGATCTGCAACTACTAGTAGGTTCCAACCCAAGTGATCCGGACCACTCGGACCACTCGGACCACGTGTGGGGCTCGACGCAAAAAATATCGATTGGACCACTCGGGCCACTCGGACCACCAGGCGTAGCATCCTTTTCATCGACCACTCGATCCAGCAAAAAACCAATGACCAATCTGATGACAAATGGGCGCCCACTTGAAATCCCTTACATAAACATTTTCAACACCAATTAGTGCATGGGTTCTCAACTTGTTTCCAGTTGACAACTTTCAAATCAATCATTCAACACATTATATAGTTAAACGATTGATTTTTATATAGTATCTAAATGTACACCCATTAACTTTATTTGTTTTCAAAGTTTTCTCTGCTGAACTGCTCTAGGTTCATGTTTAACATCAAGTAAAATTGGATTTGCAATTGGTTTCCAATTGAAACCAGTTTTTAATCTATGGACTTTTAGTTTGTTTCCCCTAACAATGTTTTTTGTTGAGCCTCATTTAGACGGGGTGGCCAGCCTTGAGCAGAACAAACATCAAGAAAAAATACCAACCACAGTCCCCAGCTTTTTCTTTTTCTAGGGGGTGGTGCGCGGAAAAGAAACACAAGAGCGAGGTTGCTTTCTTCTTTTTGACCGGGGCACGCCTGTCGACTTCCTCCAAAAGGTGCATGCACGATTCGCCCCCAGTTCGGAGACATGTGGGGATGCTGTAGGTCCTGTAGGTTGAAGGCTTTGCTTTCAAGGTCGGACCTGGTGCTTGGGGTTGCTGATTTTTTTTCCTCGGTTTGCTGGTTTTCACCGTTTGCCTGGCAGATTTTTGAAACAACGGAACTTGAGAAACCGTTTTGGCTGAGTCCACCAGCATCACTGGGTGATTGTTGAACACACAAAGTCTAAAGACTCACGCAGACTTATGCGATCTACCTGATGTGGGACCCATCCAGCATCACAAGCAAGATCAAGATCGACGATAGCGCTGAGGACAGTGATGATGACATATGATGACAAAGTATCATTCGTAGTCGGCATCATCATCCACTGTGAAGGGAAACACTTGCTAAAAAGACGTCTCAAATCTCTCTTGCTGTTTCCTTGCATGTCCATTCACTCTTGACTCCTGATGGGGCGGACTGTGAGGCCCAAACTCTGGCAGTCCAGTTTTGTGCCGAGCATGGCCTCCATCAAGACCTGGCCCCGGGCCCAAGCATCTGCCGAAAAACGTTGCGGCCAATGGCCGAGTGGCCCGATGGCTGTGATTTCCATCGGAGATGGCTCGCAGGGGGGGTTGGTTTTGGGACTCTGAAGAGATATGACCAAACGAAACTGGAACTCTTAGTTTAGTTTTGCTTCAGTATGTTTCTGTCACTTGGAGGGCCTTGTGTTTTTGCGACCACTCAGGTATTACCTTTGGCAGCTCACATCATAGAGAGCCTTGATGCAGCATTGGGCAGCTCAAGTTGGTCGATGGGTCCGATAGGTTCATTTGTTTATCTGAGTCTGAGTTGCTTTTGAGATGCCCAGAGCCACCCAGAAACCACACACGAAAACACCAGCAGTGACACATGCCATTCGAGTTCCACAGCATCACCGGGCCCAGGAAGATGACCGTGGCCCAGGCGACGCCGCCATCGCCAGCGTTCGACCGTGCGCCGCCGGCGCCACCAGCGCCGCACGGTCGGGCAGCTGCGCGGCGGACGGAGGCCGAGCGGCAGGCTGAAGCCTAAGAGGACTTTGTGAAGAGACGCGATTCTCAGGGGACTTAATTAGTATGGTCATGGTATGTAATTATGGTGTAGTGGCGGAGTTAGTGGTGGTGAATTACAAATGGTCGAAACCTGGACAGGGCCAGTGGCCCCAAGGGCTTCTTTATATGGTGTAGCTGGTTTCTTTTGGGGGGGCAGGTTTCCGAACTGTGAGACATTGACAGGTCAAGGGCTTTGACCTTTTAGGCGCTTTGGTGTGTAGCCGTTTGGCTAAAGACAACTGCGACAGCTGGTGCCACTTCGAAGTCCATGGCGCCGATGTCCAAGACGGTAGCTGTCGCTGCTGCTGCAGGCACTGCCTTTGTGGCCCCAAGTCACCATACGTCCAGCCCCAGCGCCGCTGGCGCGCTGAGCGCGCTAAGGGGAGGTGGACGGGTGCCAATGGCATGAGCACTGGGCATGGCGGCATGGGGGGCCACTGCTGTGGCTGTGCGGAGGAAGGAAGGGCTCTCGGCCGCAGCTCCGTTCGGTGTGCACCATTGGGCTTTTGGGATCCAGGCTCTCCCCAGTGACGGTGATACTAGAGAATTCGATCGTCGACGTGTTGTGGAGATTAAGCATGGGCCAGTGTCCATGTTGGCCTGCACGGAAGCCACGGGCCTGGCGGAAAAGTCAACAGCGTGGCAAGACTGCGACGTCAGACGTGTGTCTGTATTGCTGCTTGTTGCAACAGTCACCGATGAGGCGCCGACGGCGCTCTGTGCTCGTGGCCGCCGACGGCACCCTCACCGTGTGGCTCACAATGAGGAGTTCGTCTACCCCGATCATCCTTGACTTTACGAGGCCGTGACAACAATTTTTCTCCAGACTCTGATCCGGAGACTATGTAATTAGTGGGGGTGCATTGTTCAGGAGTTTTCCAGGTTTCCGGGATTCATCTCTCCCTCCAGCAGCCCTTTTGGTGAGAACTTCTGGGATCGCGCAGGGATCACTTTGAAGAAGCTTGGTTGTCCAGAAGCTGATTTTGGTGTTTTTTTTGCACTTTCCGGTGTTCCAGACTCCAAGTTAACACTTCTGTTTGCCTTGGTGCATCGAATGACCGTACCGCCAACAGCAAGCTCAAACAGAAAGATCAGAAAGGACTTGCCATAGTGAGTGACAAAAGCAATGACAAGTCACCATGATAACAGCAGTGGCCACACTCGATAGACAGGAACCATGCACAGAATGATGGTTATTGATGATGGGCCTCAATGGGCCATGGCAATACATGACTGGCAACTAACAGCACACATGATGGCAGCATGAATGACAAGCGACAATGGTGACAGTGATGACAAGTCAGAATGGCAACAGTTGTATTCAGCACAGTTACAAGTTTCAAGGTATTACTAACATTTACTAACGGTATTACAAAGTCAAACAGGAATCTAAAGTGCCTTGAGCATGGCCAACTCTTATTGTCTAAGGTGTATGCTAATGCTGCTTCAACCTTATACCCGGGTGCCTTAAATCAATCTAACTCATCGCGTTGTACAGTGGTGTTCGTTCCTTCTGGGTGCTGAGGAAGAGCAAAGAGGAGAGCTTCGAGCCATGCAATTTAAGCACGGGCGGGTCGCGATGCTGGCCGTTTTGGGTTGGTTTCATGTGGCCGCTGGTGGGAGACTATGCGGTGGATGACAACCCCTTGGTGAGCATGAGCGAGATGCCCATGAGTTGGGCATGGCAGGTCTTCATGATCATGTGTGTGGAATGGCTGGCCACTTATGTTTGCTGGAGAAGCCTTGGGACATCTTGGGCTGGAGCGACATCATCATCGAGGCGGAGAAGAGCATTTGGAACCAATTCCGGAAGGCTGAGCTGCAGGAGAGCTGCGTCCAACGCCACTTGGAAAGGGCGCCCAGCAACAGCGAGGTCGCAAGGTTTTTCACGCTCAGAACTTGTTTGAGAACGTTCTCTTAAAGCAAAGCCATGCAGAAACAACCAAAGGACCACTTGGGAACAGCCAATAGCTTTTGAGGGGTTTGATCGGACCTTGTCTCCCTTCCAATCTTCCAACGAGTGTGCAACAAAGACGGAGGTGTACATGTGGTGTTCACCTCCTGCTTTGCTCCAGGAGGTGAACAACGGCCGGTTGGCCATGCTGGCCATCACTGGCCTCATTGCACAGGACCTCCTGTTGGGTGAATATGGCAAGACCTTTGTGGAGCTCCCCTGGCCTCAGGACCATGGTTGACTTTTGAAGAGACTTCCACGAAAAGGGAGGGCTGTTGAACAAACGCACCTCCCAAACTACAAGAACCGGTACTGGTATGAATCAATGGTCGATATCCAGGTGGCCTTTTTGGCAGACACATGAATCCCGCCCAGGACATGGGGGTCTATGAGCCCTTTGCCACGTTTCAATATCCAAGGCTTTTCCCTGAGCTTTAAGAGCAGCACAGAACGCCCTGCCGTAGAAACTTGAGAGACAAAGTCCATGACGTCAACCCCAACCCGTAAAGTTAAAGGATGCTTGTTGAGCTCTTAGAAGGCGAGATTCGCTTGGTATTCAGATCTTGATGCATTACGTTTACATTGCACCGTTCCCTCTTTCCCGCTGGCCTCTCGGCCAACGCCAACAACGCTCGGAGACGGCGGTGACGAGAAAAAGCGCGGGTGGATGCAGACTGCACCTAATTGGAGAGGTCCCCCGGAAGGTTCTCAAGCTCGGAGAACCTGCCGAGTTGAGGTTCCCTTTCCGGAAGTAGTGACCACAGCTTGAGAGCTCTCGTCGTAGTGACGGGCCTCTCCTCTGAGGTGCACTTCTTCCGCAATGTTTCAAATCGCCAGCGTCAGGCAGGGCCCAGGGCCTGTGAAATCTGGCTTTTGGTTCACTTGGCACTGCTGGTGACATGGAGGTGCACCAGGTGGAAGCTGGTGGCAGAAACGGCCTCACGTGTTGTTATATAGACATGCGTCGATTTTGTTTGGCACAGCCAGCTGGCCTGCTGGACTGAAAGAAGCGCAGTTTGCATGCAAAGCCATTTTTGCACATTGTTTATATATATATATATATATTTGTTTTGATAAATTTCCCTCTATTTGTTGTGTGTATGATTGCATATGAATGATGATATATATATATATATATGTGTGTGTGCATATATATATGTGTGTGTGTGTGCATAATTATATATATATATATATATATCCTTCCTTCGATTCGTTCAAGTCTTCTTTTTAATCTGTCTATCGGCTATCGGCTGGCTTTGTCTCAAGGCGGCCTCGGCTGAAAGCACGCCAAAGCAGCGCTGCTGTGGCACGGAGTCCCGCGGATCACGTCGGTGCCCTCGGAGTGGATGTTCACCTCGGAGTGCTTCTGTGTGGGGAATGGTTGACCAATGAAGAGCCTCCCCCCCACTAGGAAAAAAGTCCTACATCTCAATCTCCAGGCTGGTTTGGGGGTTCGGTTCATCAACAGTCAACATTACCCCTCGTTGCTTCAATTTGTTTCAGGAATAGGACTTCTTTTTTGGTGCCGTGCTGATTTACGTGGCTTACTTCTACTTTCCCACCAATTTCTTCTACAGTGCGTGAACTCCCCAAAACCTCACAGCATTGCCAAGCTTTGCAAGAGAGAACCCTTGGAGGCAGCACAGCGCAAGCCACTGCAGCGCAAGGCCATGGGTCGTTGAGTCCTGCAGTTGCCGAAGACGCAACAGATGCATTTGCCAGAGCAGACCAGTGGAAAGTTTGTGAACGGTTTCAACCTTTGTTGAATGCGGGAATGCTGGCAGCTGCAGTTCAATCCTCATTTAGTGTAATGCCCTAACACACTCCAAATCATTGGAAAGAGTTTCCAATGGAACCATTTGTTCGGGCGGTGACTTTGGAACCACGGCAGCATTTAGGCAACTCGCAGCACGCTGTTTTAGGCAACAGCCCGCGCTTTCTTCGCCTTTTCGAGGAGATCGGCTGCGAGCCTTCGCTCCGGTGGGGCTTGGTGTGGCAGTCTTTTTAGAAGGCAACTTTTGCACAGAATTCATATGGTTTTGGGTGTGGCCTCCGGGCCATGACAAAAACGTCACACTTGCACAGACTTGCAACTGGGCAACATATTGCGATTGCAGGACTCCATCCAAAGAAGGTTTCGGCTGCAACGGTTGAAGCATCAGGCCAAACGGCCAACCGTTGTATTCAACTCTTTCGAATCATTCATTGAGTGGAAGGGTTGTGGCTTTTCCATGCTTTTCCGGTATTCATGCCAGATACCCCTGCTGTATCCTGCTGAGAGCAGAAGCACTGGTAGGATGCCACAAATAGGTCAAGTGGACATCAACTCATGCAAATCCAATGCTGATAGCCATCAGTGTCGCTATGTGGCAGTCTTTGGCATGGGGTCACAAGAATGGTCTTGCAGCGCACTCGAAAGTGGGTTCAGGTGGAGAAGGATGAGGAGCAGAGAGCACAAAGTGCTATGACGCAGGAGTCTCAGGGCAGGGTTGGGGCAGCGACTGCCTGGGTTCAGCAAGAAGATATATTGAAGATTATCGAAGTTGGGATTCCTGACCACTCGGCTAAATAATTTGGATCTTGACTCAAGGTCTTGAACAAATCTACTGTACATCTCTCTCGCTCTCTCTCTCTCTCTATATGTGGGTATATATATATACGTGATATGTCTGATGTATATATATATATATGTATTTATATGTGATATACATTTTTTTTACACATACACATACACATAAGATACAGGGTTTTGGTTTCCTCCTGCCTTTGCAGAAGTCCGCCAGCATGGCTTTGCGTCCAGAGCCCCTCCAGATGAAACACACTAAAAGAACGCACACTTTGGACACCGCTTTAAAGATCTGCCGGCCAAACATAGGGGCGGACAACCTACTAGACTAGTGATGGCCTCCAACCTCATAGCGATGGCCTCCAATCTAATAGGAATGGCCTCCAACACTATCGGGCGACCCCCTGGCTCCCGCTCCGGAAAAGGTGGTGCCACCCTCGTCTCCCTGAGGCCCACTCCCGGTCGGGTGCGCTACGCGGCCTGGGAGCGGCGCTCGGGCGAGCCGAAGCCTGCAGTGGGTGAGAGGCGCAGTGACTGCGGTGTCTTTGGACACGCTCTTTGGAGCTGGTAGGGCAGCACCAGTTCGATATTCCACCTGAAGCTGATTTTTTTTTGAAAATAAACATGTGTGAGCGGAGGCTCTACAACGACGCTGCCAGAAGAGCCCTAAAGATGCGGCACTTGCAGGTGTGGCACCCTGCGGCAGTGGCTCAAAACATCGGCCTTCTCACCCACCAGTTGGCCCAGTTGGCAGAAGAAAGACAGGTCATATTTGTCAGAAGTTCTGTGATACAGTGAAGAAACGTGATATAGTGAGTGAGTGTTTTGGAGGCAAATCCATGGAAGTTCTCCAAGCAGTAGAGAGGTTCAGAAATGGCATCGTTGGACTTGGCCTGTTGATGAGTTTGCACCTGCAGAAGCCAACCGGGAAACTGAACAATACTAGGAGCAGGACTGCTGGTTTGACAAGAACACCATAATCATTTGATCCAATGTGTCTACGACTGAGGGCTCTATGGGGTCTATGGGCTGGTGGGTGATGTGACTGCTTCATGCATCTCTCAGGAGATGCGGGAGGAGCTGGAACGACAGCAGGAGCAACAGGAAGCGACGCCCGAAGCCCCGAACCAGCAGAACCCATGGATCATGGAGGTCTCGTGGACGGCAGGTCAGGAGGTCAGCCGTCAGGGAGTTACACTGGTCCGAACAAGGTCAATTGTGGTGACTTTGGGATACTTTGGGTACTGTGCAATGATGTGCCTTCCTCAAAACTCTTGGCTCAAATCCAAAAGACTGCTTTTGGCCAATCCCTATATAACACTTCCACTTAGGATTTGAGGCGAGAGTCCTGACGGCGATGTAGATTTAAATGTGGCACATCTAAAATTTGGTACACTTCCGCCTTTACCGTTGTATGGCTTCGCTGGTTCCCAACCTTACGGACCCACTCCAGCAGCAGCTTGACCAATTGACCTTTTGCCCCCCACCCTCCTGGCTGCATTTTCACAGCCATATCCTTGAAGCACCTTGTGCCCGGTGCAGTATGTTGCTATAGATTCTTCAAACAGAGTTCAAATCCAGCCAATGGAGGTCGTACAAATACTGACGCGGAATAGTTCTTTGAGCGAAGTCAGCGCGTGCGGAGAAACCTCTTTGTCAAAGCCATTGAACAAGTATCACTTGCAAGCACAGGACTGGAATACATCATAATACAACACACTACCACAAGCTGTTCATACTTAGGAATGCGCAGGTCAGGAACCCCTCTCTCTTCAAATGCTTTACAAGGTGTCGTGCATGACTGCATGCGCGTTTGTCATCATTCTGCATCGATGATCATAGAATGTTGGACAGGGTTTTGATCGCACCTGGGGCACAGTTTGACGTGGGCCTGGCAGAGGCTCGATATTGGAGCCAATCGGCAATGGGATTGACCAAATCATCCCATTCATCATCATTCATCCAGGGTCAGTAGATAAGTTTTCCCACTGGATGTTGAGACAATCTGACAACTAGACCTGCTCTTCAGGTTCAGGCCTGCCATCGAGGCCGAACACCTCCGAAACGCATTTTTTTTTATGCCTTTTCACGTGTTTTTGCTCAGGTTCGATGATGCGCCACGACCGTTGTTGGGCTTCATTGGAAGATCAAGGATCTCATTCGTAGAGCCAATCCTGGTTCCGACAGTTGTTAGTCCACCACCTCAACGCCAAAGAAATTCGAGAGAATACGCCACTGAGATCAGCAACCTGCATAGTGGTTGGGTCTAGTACTGTATGTGCTGTTTGGGCCTAAAGTCTTTGCACCTGGTCATGGTCTACAATTGCTTCATCAATATGGACAATCCTGATTCTGAACTAGCCTCCTCCTGGTGTTGCGAGCTTGTTCAACAGGGCTGCGGTAGTGGCTGCGGTGTTCCAATTCCAACGCTTCCTCCAGCGGCCCGAATCTATGATCATCTATGGACCTTTCTGATGACCATCAACCGTTTTCCTGTTGGGTCATGATTGCCCTGCCTTCAGCCCCATGGCATCTCATGGACACCCGGCCGTCCCGGTCCTCCACCGGACGAGCGTCGCACGGCCAGGCGTCTCAGCGGCGCTGTCAAGGCACGTCCAGGTCCTCACAGGATCCTGCTGGATTGAAGACCAGGCGGGGAACGGAGATGGGTGCCATTTGGAGAGAAGTATGAGCTGAAAGCCGCCACCTGGAGGTTGTGCCTTGATATTTTTTGAAGAGGCAGAATGTGTGAAGGTGGGAGGCACATGCATATGTAAACTATCTCAAATTCCGGCGCTGACCTGTCTACAGCTTCGGCAGTCAGACTAGAATCAGAGCCTCAGTGCCTTCTAGGAAGAAGATGGACAGACTTCGCGACATCAAGCAGAAGAACGAGCTTGACGGCCTTTGGCTTGGCAGATTGACCATCATTGATCACAGCAGCATGCAACAGCTCCCCGCCTGCTATCGGTAAGGTTGCACCTTCAAGCCGGAGATTGATCAGAGGTCAGAAGAGTTGATCTCCCAAAGATTGGCTCGGCTCAAGATCACCGGGACCTTGTGCCCCAGGAGTTTCCTTTAAACACATACTTTGCATTGTGTGGTCCAGGTGCCAGCTTTCATGGCGCATCGTGCCGAGGTACGATTCCCTCTACGAAGACGCCGTTCGAAGACGCGAAAGACAGCTAGAGTCCACTCGCGCGAAGAGCTCAGTTTGTGAGGGTGAACTCCTCCGATTACCTGCTTGTGTGATGCTGGAAGACAGTTGTTGTAGGTGTCCCATTTTGGATGCATTTCATGTATCGTTATTCGGATTCGCTTCAATCGTGCTACCTGTCGCATAATATACATGGCCCAACGTGGCAAACACATCAAACCGGGGAAGGGTTTTCTATTGGTAGGAGAGTTGGTAAGAATGTGGCTGCTGAAAGCTGGGAAGTAAGAATGCAGAACCGCCATGTGAAGGTGCTGCCTCCTGGTGTGACTTTCCAGCCTGACATCGGTTTGGACCGGTCAGCAGAAATGATACCATCCATTCCAGACGTCTGAGGGCCACTGAGCAATCAGAAACGACAAGAGGATATAAATTGCAGAGATCTAGAGTAGCTATTTGTCGACAAGTTTTACTTTCACCTCCAGCCTTGGCGAACAATCAAAAGGGAGAGAGAGAGAGAGAGCCAAGACATGGTTTCATGTGTTGTCTTCCCTGTGATGTGTGTGAGGGGTGACTTGTGGCTAAATTGACCACACCGATTTCACCAGTGCCGGTCGCTTGTCACCGCAGGACCCCAACAGACCCTCCAGTGAGAACAAGGAGGAGTGGTGAACTTCCTCAGCCAGTGCCGGTCGCCGGTCGCTAGCTTGCATTTTCTCCTCACGAGGGCCACTTCTAGCTCTCACCTTCCGTTCTTTGTCAACTACTCATGGCCGCTGAGTCACCATCCCGTGGGATATATATATATATATTTTTTTTCCCAGCGGTCCATTCCTTTGTGACACAGTGACACCTGCAGGACTTCATCAACCGACTTGCTTACTCCAAGAGCTATTCGGACCGCCGGGGGGCCGTGCCGTGTCGTCTCTCTCGTCCGGGCCGTGTCGCGCGATGGTCGTTCGCGTCCGGTCGACGTGCTCGAAACACCCAGGCTGGGTGTCCCTGCGGCGGCAGAAGCAAGAGCAGGAGCGCCAGTTGAAGGCACCGGAGCGGACCAGCGAAGCAGAAACAAGCAGAAGACGAACGACGCACAGCTGCGGGACATGTGAAGTCACAACCCCCTCGCCCAGCCTCCTGCAGCGCAAGAAGAAGGAGAATGATCAATGATCCGCAGGGATTGAGGCGTTCGGTCTTTTTAAACACCTGTCTGCGGTATTCCTTCATGAATACCATGATGTCCATGTCCAGCGGAGGGTAGTGTACATCTCACCTGACGTGGGCAACCCCTTTGGAATGCACCTGCACACTCACCAGATGCACAATGGCGCGATGTTGAGTGGTGACCCTCACTGCATGAGCACCCGTTTGTTGATCATCCCGATTTCATTCGGAAACACCTTAGCTTGACTTCCTGAGTGAGCCCCATGCCAACAAGGCCGGCCCTTGCCCTGCTTCCAGCCCCATTCTCCCACAGGACTTGGACGGACAACCTGAGTTGGTCACTCAGACAAGAGAAGAGTTGGCTGTCCATGCTTTTTTTCTGCGCCCTGGGCGCTGCGGCTGACAGCCAGACTTGCGATTTCAGTGACACAAAGTCGCGGGAAGGGTTCAGCTCACCGGAGAAAGAGATCCTCAACAAAGATAAGACAGCTGATCATTTGAAGTTTTAAGTCAGCGCCTGCACTTTTGCATTTTGATTGAGGTTCCATCCACGGACCGGACGAGGGCCTTTGGTGGTGCAGGGCCCAGCCGGTTGTCACAGATGGAAATGCCCATCGGGCACGATAACAGTTCAGACCTTACTGTAATATGTAGGGTCCCCAAAAGATAGAAACCAGCATCCCCTCCCCCAAAACAAAAGTCATGTGGACGGAGCTTCTCTGAACAAAAACGGTGGCCTCCATGCCGGGTGACGAGTCCTCCGGCGACATCGGGCCAATGAAACGAGGGCGACTCGGGTGGATCCAGCGCGACGTAGGCTTGGACAACGCCGGTGCCGTTCTGTGCCAGCGAGGGCCGTTTCGAAGAAGTATGGATCCACCCGGACATATTCGGAAAATCACCCTCCGCTAATGTTTTGGGAAAGGAACTCCATGAACTCATCCACTGAACCGACCGAACAAGGAGACCTCCAGGTCGGTTTGTGCCCTTTCGGTGACCCTGGTGAACCTCAGGGCGACCTGCGTCGCTAGGAGCGGAACAAGTACGGCTTGCCCATTGGAGACTTTCTCTACGAACATGCCCGGGAGAAGGCGTCCTCATCGCAGGCCAGGCGTCCTCATCGGGATGATGGAGTGGAGAGGATGATGGCATGTTCTGAACCTCAAATGGTTGCCTTTAATGCAACTTCTAATATCGTATTGATTTGTATTGATAGATCCCAAAAAATCTCCCAAATCTCCCTTGGTGTGGTCATCATGGTCATCCATGTAAGCTTTGTCACTGCTGGTTCCCCACGTTCACGTTCAGGCTCAGGAGCCACAACCCTCCACTCCGCGCATGGGGGAGAACTCTCGGCAGCTCTTTGAGGACGAAGTCGCCTGAACGCTACTCCTCGAATGGGCTTCCATTGGAGATTCCAAACGGATGCTGCTTCGTTTGGCGTTCCTGGGTTCTCACCAAACGACCACCTAAAGGCTGAGACTGTGTTTTTCGGATGGTCAAGTGATGGTCAAGGTGGCTTCTTTGCGATGAATGAGACTCGAGACTGCTACAGACTGCTAGTAGGTCTTTTTGCGTCCCGTGTGATGGGGCGGGTCTTGGTGTGGCTCGCTTTTGATTTTGGTGGGTGGTTGATGGATCAAGGTCAGATGACACACGTCTCAAAAAGGGGGGCCCTCCAAAGAGCCTTTTTGACTTTGCACTGCAGATCAGAGTAGAGATTTAAATATTGATGCAGGTGAATTGAAGGGCCTTGTGTTCAGGCATACGGCCTACTCACCTGCTGGTTGGCTGCAATGCAATGATGCTGCTACTTGCTGTGACTTCTCTCCCTGCTACATATCCTTGTGCATGCAAGTGAGGAGACAAAGCAGCGAACATACAAGCAATTGTTCGACTTGCTGACCTGCAAAGACTCTGAGGTGGGGTTGATCTTGGACTTTCAATGGTTCTTGATGCCCGCCGTCACAGTTTTTTTGCTTCCGTGGTTCTTCATGGTTCTTTAGGTTTCTGAACTTCTCGTTGGTTTTATGAAGCAACAACCTCACAAAAAGCCTTGGGACACCTCCAACCGGTCCGACCCCACGGGCGTGGTGGGGACGAAGATTTTGCCAGCTGCAGCTGTGCAGCCAGGGGCAGCTACAAGCAGAGACGATTTGTTTAGACGGCTCGGGACCAAGCTTGGTGAAAAAAGGACAGTAGTGAGCTCCAGAGTCCAACTCTCATGGCCCATGTTAGTTGGTGGGAGGGTACTGTACGGGACCTGCGAGGAATATTTGATGTGATTGCCTCTCCGTTGGCCCCAGGACGGCGTGGAGCTGGATTTGGCCAAATCCGTCGTAAGAACGGGGGACGAACACCTGCCCCCTGAGTCGACATTTCAAATGGGTGTGAGTCAACACCGGGCGACCCGGTTTTTTCCCGAAAATGAACAGGCCATGGACCTACAGGAGGTCAACCGGGCTGGTGAACGGGGAAGAGAAGGTGCACCCCCAGCCAAATCAGTGACTGAGGCTTGGACTCCGACTTGCGAGCCTTCCTTCAGCCGATGGTCTCCCTCGCGCTGCCTTGGAGCTGAAGCGGATCGGAGAAGCAGCGGAGTCTGAAGTCTGAAGCTTCTTCAGAACTGACTGCTCGCTGCGTCAGTTTCAGAGTTTTCAGAATCAACTTGCTTTTGAGTTAAGCCGCGCCCCTGCCACATTATGCTGATAGGACCTGATAGGTCCATAGCCAGTCTTCGCCAGGTTTCATTCTTGGACTCCAGTCAACACAGAATGGAGTTTGAAGCCTTCTGCCGAAGCCTTGGTGCCCAAAAGCACAGCAAAACTGCAAAACTTGCCACCTGTGGGGAGCGACCCGCGGGAGCAGCGTGCCTGGTCGCACGACCTGCAGGTGCTGCACTGGACTATCAACGTCAGCACGCCAGGACCTCAGCCGGGGGAGCCGATAGCTGATAGTGCGAGGCGCCTGGTGGTCGATGTCGCACTGAGGCTGTGATGCCGACGGCACATCTCTTCACGCAGAGGAACTCGAGGGGAAAGGAGAAGGCGTGGGGAAAGGAGCAGATCGTGGAAGAGAAGAAAGACTGGGACAGTGGATGGCATCCTTGAATTCAAGTCTTCAGTGGTTGAGGGCCTAAAGTTTTTAAAGCTCGCGTCGTTCCACGAATCCCTGTGAGAGTGGCCGCTCTCTCCGATGTCTTGGGCCCAAAAAGGCACCCGCTTCGTGGTTCGGCCTGTGGCCAAGCCCCAGAGGCCAATCCCGAGACGCCTGTGCCAAAGATCGATCAGAATAGCCGCTGGGCGAACACCGCCGGAAAGGGTAGAGAGAACGAGAACAGACCATGTGTGGTGAACACTCTGCGCGGTGAGTGCCCACCTTGTTGATAACAGACGAGGTTGAACCTCTAACCTCTAACCATATGGTTCACCCATGTCCAGGCGAACTGGGAGTAAAGACTGCAGGGTACAACCGTGGACTCCGTGTCCGGATATGGACATGAAGCCTCCAGCTATTTTGCACCATAGGTGTTGAGAGCCCAAGGAGCCCACCTGCCCACAGCTGTCGCTCTTCGGGAACAGGTGAG